CAAAGTTGCCTTACATTTATAAGAGCGCAGCTCGAAGCTCTTTTCCGGTAACATGTACGAACAATTGAAGTCATGCATGGTAACGTCGAAATACTATGCTTCCAAAATCCTTCGTCACGGAAGTAGCTAGTATAGAGTTACTGCGGTCCTATTTTTACAATTCTGTTTAGCTTTGCTACACATTCTGAAAAATATCTCTTTATCTTTTAGTATATAGTAACTACCAAACAAGACGGAAATCCGGATATGTTTGGGCTATTGTGATTCTCTTTTTACACGATTTAGAGGGATCAGGCAAAGTATATCATGTCGGAAAATAAAATTGGAATTTAATCACCAATATACTTAACTTTTATAATAACAGATAATAACAGTCATATTTGATAAACAATACATCTTCAAATTTGAAGTTCCTCTACTGGGCCTCACTCTTTCCGCAACATTACGCTATTGCTATAAAACGAATAAATAAATATTATTTTAAATAATGTTATTTAGAAAATAAGATTGAAAAAAAATAGCATTTAGACGCTTCACTCGTTTCAGGCAATGCCTGTTTTTAAAATGAATGATTTGCCCAGCAACAGATTCAAGTATATTATATAAAAAACAAGTACATTTTGTTTGTATTAAAATGGGTAATGTTATGATTCAAAAATTACACTATACTATCGAAACAAATGTACGAGCTTCGATCTCTCCAGGCCATGCCTGCGTCATATTATGCAATCTGGAGAAACAAGTTGTCCTGAAGATAAACAAACAAAATTATAATGAAACAAAACAGAAATCATATGACATGCCGGTACATTTATTCTTAATTATCACTTTTTCATACTTTGATGGTGTAAATAGTTTAACTTTAACCCCAAAATCTGCTGTAGCTGACTTTAGTGGTAGAGGCAAAATGTCCGCAACAGTCATTTCGTCCGCTGCAGTAACACTTTAAATTGTAGGCCTAGGTGTCCACAGAGCTTTTTTTGATTTGGCTTGGGACGTTTTGATCTTTTTGATGTTTGTAGCAGACTTGACAAGTATTTTTGTCGAAGTTCGGAAATTAATTTGTGGTTTTCGATTTTTAAGTCACCTGAGGTTTAGCTCAAGTGACCTATTGATATCCGTCTTCGTCCGTCGTCGTCCATCGTCCGTCGTCCGTTAACATTTTACATTTTCAACTTAAGCTAAAAAACTGGCAAGGGATTTCATTAATATTTCATGGGAAGGTTACTGACATCTCCCTGACCAAGTGTTCTTATTTTTCGGGTCGATCAGAAATCCAATATGGCCGACACGGCCGCCATTTTGAAAAACTATTTCAAACTTAAAGTCAAGTTCTACTGGGCCGATTGAACTGAAACTTTGTAGGAACGATCGACTCATGGTCCTGACAAAGTGTTGTTATTTTTCGGGTCGATCAGAAATCCATTATGGCTGACACGGCCGCCTGTTTGAAAAACTATTTCAAACTTAAAGTCAAGTTCTACTGGGCCGATTGAACTGAAACTTTGTAGGAATGATCGACTCATGGTCCTGACAAAGTGTTGTTATTTTTCGGGTCGATCAGAAATCCATTATGGCCGACACGGCCGCCTTTTCAGAAAAACTATTTCAAACTTAAAGTCAAGTTCTACTGGGCCGATTGAACTGAAACTTTGTAGGAATGATCGACTCATGGTCCTGACAAAGTGTTGTTATTTTTCGGGTCGATCAGAAATCCAATATGGCCGCCACGGCCGCCATTTTGAAAACCTATTTCAAACTTAAAGTCAAGTTCTGCTGGGCCGATTGAACTGAAAGTTGGTAGGAATGATCGCCTCATGGTCCTGACAAAGTGTTGTTATTTTTCGGGTCGATCAGAAATCCAATATGGCCGCCACGGCCGCCATTTTGAAAACCTATTTCAAACTTAAAGTCAAGTTCTGCTGGGCCGATTGAACTGAAAGTTGGTAGGAATGATCGACTCATGGTCCTGACAAAGTGTTGTTATTTTTCGGGTCGATCAGAAATCCAATATGGCCGCCACGGCCGCCATTTTGAAAAACTATTTCAAACTTAAAGTCAAGTTCTACTGGGCCGATTGAACTGAAACTTTGTAGGAATGATCGACTCATGTTCCTGACAAAGTGTTGTTATTTTTCGGTTCGATCAGAAATCCATCATGGCCGCCATTTTGAAAAACTATTTCAAACTTAAAGTCAAGTTCTACTGGGCCGATTGAACTGAAACTTTGTAGGAATGATCGACTCATGTTCCTGACAAAGTGTTGTTATTTTTCGGTTCGATCAGAAATCCATTATGGCCGCCATTTTGAAAAACTATTTCAAACTTAAAGTCAAGTTCTACTGGGCCGATTGAACTGACACTTTGTAGGATTGATCGACTCATGGTCCTGACAAAATGTTGTTTTTTTCGGGTCGATCCGATTTAACTGAAACTCGGTCTAGGAATAATCAGCTCATGGTCCTGACAAACTTAAGTTAACGTTATACTTAACTATTTTGTACTCAAATTGGTACATATTTCAACAACGAAAATAAATACTGTAGGACTCAGGTGACCGTTTAGGCTTATGAGCCTCTAGTTAATGTTTCAATTTTGTTTACCAAGTCGTAATCAATTTTGAACAGCTTATTTAACTTTGTAAAACAAAATCCACATACGTATCTGCTTTTTCCATCCTCTTGGTCAGCAATATACCCCAAGATATAACTTAACTGGTCAAAAACAGCGAACGTGGGTCCAAATATTACACGTCTTGACTTTGTTTACAGTGTGTTGTGACACACACGACATGATTCGCTGGGCGCCGCCATTTTTTATTTACAATTGTAACGCGCGTTTTGATTGGTCGGCGAAATCTAGCCGCACCCCATAAAATTGTAGATGCGGGAATTTCCGATTTCGTCGTGAGATCCGCCAAGGGAGAATAGGAGAGTATCGTATTGAACACCCTTGGCTCGCAAAGTTGGTACAAACCATACTTCCATTCATTAGGTTCTTTCAGAAAAGTCAGCCCAACCCCCATACTAAATTTTACAATTAATATATGCTTACATTATAAACAACATCAAAGTTTCTGTTTAAGTGGCCATGTAGCAACACGTTATGCATTTTGGTGTTTGAATGCCCACAATGCTACAGTGAATTATCACAGTAATATGCAAATATATCGTGGTATATTTTAGTAGTTCCAAGATATTGCAAGAGGTACTGAAATAGAATTAATATAATTACAATAGATTATACTTCCAGAAACATAATATTTAGAATGAGAAATGAATAAGTAAAACAGAATAAAGTTCTCTGGGGTTTTTTCTCTTCTTTTTTTCTAAAATCAAAATTAGGCGTGGTATATACTTGTTTTTTTTTATTAACATAATATAGCTATGCAGCTGGGAGGTCAGTATAAAATCCACCACCGAGTTTCCGACCAAAACATTGTCCCTGTGTTCATCACACATAGTCGTTCACTCGGGGCTGGTTGGACACCACCTCACAACCTCATAACTAAATACAGTGCATTGTAGTTGTATTTTCGTGGAATCTGGAAGTAAATTGGTATTAACTTAGCTCATATCTGTTCCTACACGGCCATCAGAGACACCAACATAGAGAACTTTGATATAGGTAGTAGTAAATGTGTATTGATACCGGTTTATACTACTGTTACTGTCGCAAAATGTACTTTTCAAAAAGACAAACGGAATGCCGACGTGCACGTCTAAAGTTCTTAAGAATATCCTTTAATGTCCTGTATGAATGGTACGTTATTTTTAACAGGTCTTCATTTGTCTCATATGGAAGAAAACACTTGGTTGTTCTGGTGGGTCTTTAACCCGGAAAAAGTTACCGTTTCCGAAATGTGCAATACGACTGTGCGCAACAGTATCGCAAATTCCCCCGTTTGAGCTTCGTGGAATGTTTTGTTCGCTAGCAGCAATAGTACTCTTCCTCTCTTTGACACAAAAAAAGTATTTGTGACTGGGGCTAGGCAGTCGACATTTGGGTGTTTGTTACATTTTGAAAATAGGATTCCAGCAGTAACAAATGTTATTAAAAGAATCGTGAATCTGTTAGGTGTTATGGAACAAATAAAAGGAACTTTTCGCATTTTGGGGTTTATGATATGGACGCTTAGTGGTCATAGTTTTAAATGACTGCCAGGAAATAACTTCAGATTTGCCTGTATTTGATGGAAATGAAATAGTGTTTAAGGTGAATAATTATCTCGAAACGTGTTCAATTACCGCTACAAGAGTTACAGGTGTATTTATGTTGTCATTATAACTAAACGAATATTTAGCTACAGACAAGCTTTGATGTTGTAACCTCGAACCAGTAAATATATTATACCGTAGATGGGTTTCTTTTATAATTAAAACACCACTTGAATCGCCTGAAACGTTTGTTCTTATTTCACAATTCAAACCAAATGTAGGGGATAAGCGCCAGAAACGTTTCTCCGTTCAATTGTAATTTCAATCCATATATTTAGAGTATCTTGGCATTTAAACATATTAAATTGAATATTTTGTACTCCAATGTAAATTGCATGAGATAGGTTCGTATCAATTTAATTTACAAGATCGATACGCATTGATATTTTAGTTCTTTTTAGAGCTCCACATATGTTAATTTACCACGTTGAGCTTCAAATAAATATTTGAACCAATTTCACAATTATTGTATACCTCTTGGTACAATCCAGAGAAAACAACCGTGCTAATTTAACACTGTGATTCACTATTGCTCCTGCCAACGGTAAGCGTGGACATTGATTCTAACGACCTTTAACGTCATATAGAGATAACCAGCTTTGTGTTGGGGGTTTATAATATAGAATCACCGACTGTCTTATCAAAATGTAAGTCTGATCGAATTAAGACATTTGTGTTATCGCCTAATAAATAGCCGTGGTGCTGGCATTTCATTCTGTACCTGCTATCAGACGGATAAATGAGTAGGGACCAAGATTACCGCTGGACGTGTCTGAATTCTAAAGGTGGGTCCAATATAATTCGGTACGTTCCGAGGAATATTGACTTCTGATGGTAAGAGACGGGAAACAGGTATGTTTAAACTCTGTTTATAATATTGCATTATATTTTCATTCATCATAATTGCCAGTCACCGATATTTGTCTGTCTGTTTTTACTTCGAGTTACTAACTTGACATTTTAGACTAATACGAATTACCGTGGTACCTTTACGAACCACGTTGAGACATTTACATGTATATATGTATGTTAAAACATGTTATTATCCATATACAGTCACGTGAAACATGTATTGTATTTTGTTTTACGTTATATATGTATTTGTACGTGATACGACATACATATAGTCCTTATATATTGATTTATATTTTAATAAATGTTTTAAGATGGCAATGGCAGCAAACATTACCACCTAAATCCTCTTAAATACTAAAATCGAGCCCCATTAAAATTAAGTAATTCATTATAGCTCATCAGATTTTGGGTGTTCAGTAAAAATATCTAGTGACAGTTTGTTATACTCGCGTATATGCGATACATTATGATAATAAACAATAAGTATTTAGTAATAGTAAGTAGTATAGTATCTGTGTAGTTTGATACATGTATCGTCTCGTTTCGGATAAGTTGTCTTTCTAGTGTATCGTCTCGTTTCGGATAAGTTGTGTTTCTAGTGTATCGTCTCGTTTCGGATAAGTTGTGTTTCTAGTGTATCGTCTCGTTCGGATAAGTTGTCTTTCTAGTGTATCGTCTCGTTTCGGATAAGTTGTCTTTCTAGTGTATCGTCTCGTTTCGGATAAGTTGTCTTTCTAGTGTATCGTCTCGTTTCGGATAAGTTGTGTTTCTAGTGTATCGTCTCGTTCGGATAAGTTGTCTTTCTAGTGTATCGTCTCGTTTCGGATAAGTTGTCTTTCTACTGTATCGTCTCGTTCGGATAAGTTGTCTTTCTAGTGTATCGTCTCGTTTCGGATAAGTTGTCTTTCTACTGTATCGTCTCGTTCGGATAAGTTGTCTTTCTAGTGTATCGTCTCGTTTCGGATAAGTTGTCTTTCTAGTGTATCGTCTCGTTTCGGATAAGTTGTCTTTCTAGTGTATCGTCTCGTTTCGGATAAGTTGTCTTTCTAGTGTATCGTCTCGTTCGGATAAGTTGTCTTTCTAGTGTATCGTCTCGTTCGGATAAGTTGTCTTTCTAGTGACAGTTTGTTATACTCGCGTATATACGATACATTATGATAATAAACAATAAGTATTTAGTAATAGTAAGTAGTATAGCATCTGTGTAGTTTGATACATGTATTGTCTCCGTTAAGATAAGTTGTCTTTCTAGTGTATCGTCTCGTTCGGATAAGTTGTCTTTCTAGTGTATCGTCTCGTTTCGGATAAGTTTTATTTATAGTGACAGTTTGTTATACTCGCGTAATACGATACATTATGATAATAACGAAGAGAATATGTATATTTTCATTTTAAAATGTCAAATTAATTACGTCAAGAGGAAGGTATTGTTTCAAATTTAAATGTCTTTAATGAAGTAGGTATATAGATTAATGATTATCTGACAATCAAGATCTACTCATAGGAAATACATCGAAACGCGCAAAAATATATAAAGGGCGGCAGTTTCGCCAAACAATAAATATTACGTGTTTCCGGTAACCCTACCTACACGAATTTTTCGTGCATACCCAAAACTTTTGAAGGCATTTTTTTCGACCATTTGTTGGCCCTTATGACCTATCCTGTGCTGATGGGCCGTTAAGCATTTAATAATAATAATAATAAATTTCAAAGAAGCGCTGTTAAAGTCAAAATCACTCTCCTATATACACCATATAAAATGGTTTGTTGTCTACCTCCCCACACTAAATTTTTCCAACATTTTACAGGAAACATATTTTTTGTCTGGCCTAAATTGAATTACATAAAAATATAATCATTAATAGCTTCAATGATAATATTGTTTTTTGATTGTTTTGTATCTTTTAATTTTCTCTTCTTTTGTGAAATTGTATATTAGTTTGCCTATTTATACCCGTTGATGTTATTTTTTTTATATCTATTTGAGGAAAGGGTCTAGATGATGGTGATATAACACGTATGAAATCCTCTTGTCACTTTCTTTGTCAAAAATATATGTTTAAACCTTTTAATCGCAATGCCACAAATTTTTGTCAGAAGACACCTCCGAGCTAATAATACTGGAACTTATTCTTTTACAAATAACCATACGGGTTTCTTATTAAAGTTACCTGTAAATACACATGTATCGACTGTACTAGTGAATCCGAAATATTAAAAAAGAAAAAACAGATTAATTTGAAGTTCAAAAAAAAATCAAGGTAGATAACTCACATAAATCATAGATATAACGTGGGAGGTTAGATATAGCTTTAAGACGTCACATGTCTGTCTCATTGACAGATGCACAGACGGAATATGTTATAGCATCTAACCACTGCCTGATCAGGAGGAGAAAGTTGGGACCAGGGGGGATTTTTAAGCTGCTTTCTCCGCAATACAAGTCAAGTATTGATATTGTCTTACGTGTTTTAAGGTATTGCATAACAGAACAACATTCCAGAAATACCTGTTACTCTTCAAACGAGACAAGAGAAAACAAATCGATGAGGTATCGTAATGAAATATATAATCATATCGTCAAGACGCTTAGGTATCTCTATAGGTCACCTAAACGCTTGTTTCGTAACGGTAAAGAACGTGAGCGAATCCGTTTGTGACGTGTATGCTAGACATACCCTCATTGTGTCACTTAGACCCATAAAACGCACATTTGTCGCAGACAAGACATTCTGGTCGGAGATAAATCTACAAATTTCCTTCAAATGCTCTCCGTGTGCACATGTATACGCTAGTATTTATTTAGTGTACCTGTACTGCAGGTACACTTGCATATTAAGGATCCCCATACCACTGCAAAAACACTGTGACTACTTACTGGAAATGCCTTTACCCGGCTTGAGTATAGATTTCATCAAACATTTCCCGAAATAAAACCGTATTTACGAAACTATTATGAAAAAAATACAAAATATACAAATAAACATAACAACATTTGTTAGCGTTTAAACACAACGGAACTAGACTAGGATTCGAACCATTAACCTCAGATTGTTATACTATTGATCTAACCGATTAAGCTTTCTGGTCAAAGGAGGTGTCCTAGCCTAACTGCTATAGTTATATTAAAACGGAAGTTCAGAGGAGGTTACTGTACATAGGGAAATCCAGTGTGTTGGGACAGGGATCATTAAGTATACATGTAATAGGTTGTTTGGGCTATATTGAGGAACTCATTTCCGTGGTTCGTACTTGTTCTGAGAACTAACCTACTCAAAAAGGGTATTGTTTAGTTTTTGGTTTTCAATATGGCGGACAATATCAAATGTGACAGAGCCCTTACATGTATTTCTCCGCATTCGGATTATGCAAAACATCAACTTTCGATCTTTCTGAACAAAATATTGTCACACACAGTTTAAATATGTCTACTTACCTGTTTTTAAAACAGAAGGTTCAACTTTTAAAAAAAAAAAAACATTTTTTTGTGTACAATATTTGGACTAAAACTACATGGCTGTTTACGTGAAAGGTGTTGTATTTTAGCTTCCCGATGATAAGTATAGTTCACCGTTTATCAAAGAATGAAAGTTGTCTATTTGCATAACTAATGGAATTAATAGTAAAAATGTGTAATTGCAAAATTCCAATTGGCCCTTGAGACCAGTAATATGATAATATTCCTTCGAGAGAGAAAAAATAAAAATAAAATATAAACGCATTTTAACATTGCTTTTCTATATATGGCCTGTCAATCAAACATTACTTCAACGAAATGTTATACAAATAAATAGGGGTCATACGTAAGTCCATATCTCAATTTTTTTACTGTACACGGTGAAACCAGTTATTATAGACACCTGATAACACCAACTCCCTTAAATAAAATATTAAATAATTGTATGGTATGGCCGCAGGGGAACCTAATTAGTTTTGCTAAAGGATGCACGCTAATCTAATCTCTTTCTCAAATGATTACAGTTCGGTGATTTGGATTTACAAGCGTTATGACATATATTTTAAATGCGTGTCACAGTGGCGGATCCAGAGACATTTCTGGGGGTGTTTCCAAATTTACAGGGNGTTATCAGGGGGGGGGGGTCTTGAAGCCCCAAAAAAGCCACCTCTGGAGCCGCCACTGCGTGACACTCCGTTAGTCATGATCCCATGTACAAAGGGATGCAACTCTAGCAGAAAAGGTGTAACGTGAAGTTTAGCATCTATCCTTAAGAAATATCATTTTTGAATTAAAACATAGTCTAATGTGGAGGGTAACACTAAGTTCCTAAAGGGAGATAACACATATTTAAATCACAGCATAACGAATCAGGTAGTATTATACTATATATATATAATGGCTCATTACAGATATCATGTTAAATGTAGCATAACACCTTAACTCTAGCACAATATCAAAAAGTATAGTGTGAAACGCTCATGGCATTGCTTCCATAGTTATTTAAATAAAATACGTGTATGTCTAATTTTTGTACCTCTGCAAACGAATGACGTAAGCTATTTAATTCAGAAAAGGACATGCAATCTATACTACGCATACCGAAGTATAAGCTTTAATCAACCCAAAAAGTGTCGTTTGACAATTATACAATTCATAGCTGTTCTATATGCTACTTTATCAAAATATCACTTTTCTGCTCATAAGTATACGTTCTAATTGTAATACATGTAGTTTTGTTTCAGAGATTTTAATGAAGAAATGGCCTTGGTTTTTTTCCTGAAAAACGAACATATCGTCAATTTAAGTGAGCTGTTGTTAATATTATTGGCATTACTTCAAAAAAATCGTAGCAAAAAGGGATGAAAACGAAGGGAAAATAAAGCTGATATTTTACAATGTAAGACTTTAAACTGACTAGATATTTTATTTCCAACAGGTCGTTTAACGAGATTCATCCAATTCAACCGACCAGAACAAACAGCAGACTTGTCTCATATTTTATTGTGAATCTGATTGACCAAGGAGAATGCCGGGAACACCCAATGCGCGTGTGATGGAGGTTGAGGGTGTCGACACCAGTAAGATAGAGGACTTCCCGCTGTCGGGGATTAAGGTGGTTGGGTCGGTTCAAATCGCACTGGGAGCGATCTGCATCACGCTCGGACTGGTGGATATTCTCATGTTTGTGTTTGAGGACCAGGATAAACTGTTCGCCACCACAGCCACGCCCATCTCGCCGGAACTACAGCAAGCTCGGTCTACACTGATGTCCCTCACAATCTCGTCTGCTCCGATCTGGTGTGGTCTATGGGTAAGTTGACTCCGCCCTGCTGCAAAGTTGACACGCCCCTATACTATTTGAGTCGGCCCCATCCATCCGATATGATTGTAAGTGTGCCCCACCCTTCTGAAATAGGTTTACGTTTAGCCCGTCTATTCTATTCTTGGCAGTGCATTATTTTTAGAATAGGCCGTCAAGTAAAGCTGTATGGATGTAACTTTTTCCCGCCCTTCCGAAGGAGATTTGAGTATAGCCCATATATACTTTATTTTTTGCAGTGCATTCCACCTTCCCAATTAGAATCGGTCGGTTATAATGTGATCACGACCGTTTAGCATGGTCGTACATGTACGTATGTAAGTGTTCCCAGCCCATTTCGCTCATGCTTGTTTGTCCCGCCTCTGATTTCAAATGGGGACGTTTGAAACGATTACTTTTGTAATTATTTGAGTGTTTTTGTAATGATAATCGCCCGAATGTAAGGAGTTTAAATTAACTTATGTCAGCCGACGACCTTATATTTTAATTCGGCAACTTCTCGTGTCCCGCTATTTATATGGAAACTGAACTCGACGAAAAGTAGATTTTTTTACTTGCTGGTGTGCTAATATATGGTTTCCAGAATATCTATTTTTCTCCTGAATTGGCCGTGTTTAGACACAAGTTACGTTATTGTGGTCTTTAGGGAACATAGTTACCTTCGGTAACAACACTCGGTGAGTCCGACACTTGAAGTCAAGTCATTCTATATCAATTAATGAGCTTAATGGAGTTCCATCAAAATGACCAATTTACCATTCTAACGGAGATATTTCGCCAAATTCGTCTCCGCACAACTCGCGATGTTTAAGACTTGTTTAATTCATTTCAAAATATTTCATTCAAAACGATACGAAATATAGATTGAAAACAGGCTAGGCCTACAATTCATGTAGCTGTATCTTAGTAAAGGTGAAAATACGTTTGCTTGCAATAATATGTTACAGTTATGAGTCAAATAAAAAGTTGCAAAAACTATAAAATATGCCAAGAGGATATGTTTGGTTTATTATTTCGTCTGTTACGCTTTTCTGTGTAAAGAAGTGGAAATCAATTTACAGACAGTTGATCGCCCGCCAAACACTATGAGACCATATGACACTAAGAAAGCCTCGGGATTATTGTAACGTTACACAACTGGCCATACCCATTGTCATTCGAAAAACCCGGGGTTTTCTTCTGGACCAATTTTCTGTTATTTTCGCATTAAATCCAGCCTCCTGACTGATTGGTTAAGCGAAAATAATACAAAATGTGTTATTTTTCACGAAAATTGTCAATTTTATTCACTGTAAATCAATATTTTTCACCGGTGAGAATGTTATTTTTGTATTATGAAATTTGAATGTAAGAAATGTAATATAGATCATGTAGCCCTTCGTTTAGTTTAAATATATTGTATTGCCAAGCAAATAGATTGGGCAAAAGATATTAAATTTATATTAAGCACTTTCCCAGCAAATTACAAGCATATATTTACAATATGACTTGATGGCAGACTTAATTAATATACATATATACAGGTACATTAATTCATTTTTAAATGCTTTCGTTTATAAATCGAAAATATAAGAGAGAGAGAGAGAGAGAGAGAGAGAGAGAGAGAGAGGGACACACACACACACACAGAGACAGACAAAGACAGAGACACATAGGGGGGGGGGGGGGGGGCCTAAGAGTCAGCAATTATAGTACATACATCCTCGTCATTATTAATGTATGACAGATGATATCTACCTCCAAAACAACCGACAGTGTAAACTTTCTCCATGCAAACGGAACCAGTGATATTCAGCTCGCTGTTGGCAACTCTGTGCTGTTCAAATGTTCATCACCTCCCTATAAAACCTTCCTCCTGTTCGTTCCGTTCCCCTTTGTCCCCCACGCTTCCTATCTACATTCCCTAGCAAGAAATACATAGAGCGATAACAGATTAGCAGCTCCCAAATGTAAAGCGGGGTTTTAAATACCTGGACGTAGCACCGTGGGCTTTATCTCAAAACTGATAAACAAATTTGTTAGAAAGCCAAGAAAATACCTGCAGATTATGTCCCGTTTAATCATTCTGGATAAGTTTGCTTCCGATTAAATTAGAAAAACCTGTTGTTTAGAATTGGAAATCCGCCCGACCAGTCACCGCTATGCACATGTTCGTAGTAGATTATTAACACCGTGTTAACAGATGGCAGTGCAGACAAATAAGTCGTGATCTGCTCTTTTATCAAGGGAGGGAAATAAGTTAAAAACAGACGAAAGAAACGATCCCTGTCCCACTGCACGTAAAACGCTAGAGAGTTCCACTGTAGATATACTTACATACAGTAGTCCCTCCTTAATTTCTTTTTTGAATAGTTTAACTGTAGCTTCTGAGCTAGTACCACTTAACAGGTACACGTAGCCAGTTGATAAGTACGCCAGTACGAAACGACTGGAGACCAAGGGTTATACGTATAACTGCACCCCCTCCGACCCCTCCCATAGGGTATTAACACTGGTGGGTTCTCCTTTCTCCCACTTTTTAAAAAAAAAACATAGAGGCAGGAATGTTGTGATAGCAGTTATAGTCTGTTTCATATATATTTTACCTGTGTTCTCCCACATTACCTGTATCATATATACAGTACTGTCATATACATGTAGCTTCGATATACTCTATTTTCATATTTTTTAGCCATTTTTTTTCTTTTCATATCATATACTATTTTCATCAGCTAGATCTATAGAAATCTATATCTATCTATAGATCTAGAGAAATGAGAACAAACCTTAATTATATAGACGAAGAACAGAACAAATCCCTTCACCAATAACTATAGGATAATAAAACAATCTTAGGAGGGGTCGAAAAGTACGATCCAATCACTCGGACCCGATAGCTCCCCAAGGGCACCCCCAACTTTTTCACTTGCTGACATTTCGATCCTACCCGTGAATACCAAACACAAAATCAATCCCAAATTGGGAAATCTTGTTGTGGTTGAATTTCTCTGTGTTTCCTTTGTTAATTTTTTATGAGGTTCCAATAATTTAAAGGAAAAGAAACAAACAAGCATAGTAGAACAGAGTATATATACAATTAAATTATTCAAAAAATAATAGAATAAATCACAAAGAAGTATAGAATCATAGGAAACAAAGTATATAGAACGTACGTGTGTGTAACATAGTATAATGATATTAAATACAGAATCACTGTAGATGCACGGGCACACATGTACAGGTATATATACATACGTTTTTATACGTGAGTACCTAATATGTATGCACAACAATTAACCCCCTACAACGAACTTGTTACAACAAGTATCATAAAGTGGTAAAAAGGTAGGATCGAAATACAGTCAAAACCTCGATCATAGAAAACGCCCCCTACTTCTAGTAAATATGTGATAATATATGAACCTGCGTTAATAATAGCTCAGGACCCCCCTCCCCCTTCCTCTACCAATCCCTACTCAACCTAGTACTGATACACTCACCAATCTCAAATGAACCCGGTTCACGTACTCCCATTATCACATTTTAACCCCTCCCCCTCCTCAAATAATATATTTCCCTCCTCTATTCCCGACCAAATACCTCTCCATGTACTGATATAATCCTATATACACCTAGTTCACAAAACAACTCCAACCCCCTCCTACTAATACTCACAACATATGTATAAATTGTTAGAACAGAGATCAGCTACAGACGTAAGTCCAGGAAAAGTTTTACAAGAATGAGAACATTTGTATCGAAGGAAAGTTTTCCATACTGTGCAAAGTCTGGATTCGGATTCATGAATGGACAACAAAAATCAAGGTTAATTAGCACTTGCATGACACTAACCACTATAAACTGTGTCTCATGTTAGAAGTCCAACCTGCGCGTAAGAGTAGGCGCGTTAACGCCGGCACAGATGATAGGGATAGGTTAGATAATATTATATATTTTATTAAGACCATTCAACGGGCTTCCAAAATATAGAATCAAAACCGAAACGCAATAGCGTAAGCTAGGGTCACAGGACAGCCTGGATATGGTAGACACGCCCACCTCCTACACCCGTGCCGTATAAGACATCTTGATACGATACGGCCAGCGTCAAATCAACACATTTGTCAACCATTTCGGACCAAGAAGTCAACTGCCGACAGAACACTGACCTCCGTCAGTGAGACGAAACCCTAATGGGTGGAGTCATGTAGGCGATAAACCCGCCAACCAACCAACCAAGGGTTCGAAGCCTAGCTATCGCTTTGCATTTTTAAACTCATAACCCTTTTATTTATATTTTTTTTTATTTCATCTTTACTATTTTCCTAATAAAGAATTGGCGATGTCTGACTTCCTTTTCAGATATTTTGTTCAGACCTATTGTCGTGACAGAAATAAGGTTTATAATGAATAGTTACAGCAGTGGTTCAGGGACCCTTAAGGAAGTATACTGGGTTCAGTCAAATATGCGATCTTAAACATATCAGCTTTACATTCACTTTTAAATGATTCAAAGGCACCAGACAAACGGTCTTTTTTTTCAATAATTATGCATAAGTTAACTTACTGACTTGCTCAGCTATTAACCACAATCAACCTTCACCATTTCTATATGATATAAACTTTATTTTTTATTTTTACAACAATTATTAAACAAGTTATTACAACTTTCATTCATCACTCTTGTTGGTCCGGATATTAGCGCGCATGGGTCTTAATGTTTGAAGAAAAAGGGAGTACGAGGAGAAAGCCCACGTGGTCGGGCAGGTGACCCAATATATTTACATGTCCGATCGGGGAATCGAACCTCTGCCGCCTTGGTGAGAGGCGAGTGCGTTATCCACTGAACCCCTCGACCACCCCAACCGTCATATTTTGGTTATTTTAAACTGGATATGATAACTATTTTGCATTACATGTGTATTTAACTCAGCCTGATTTAGGACGACTGGATAAGTGGTGGCTATAATGTGTGCCTAGCCCCTGTGTATAGGGCTCGCGTCTTCATATATAAATCTGCCTGTCAATCATTGATCGAAAGTCAATGTAAATACAGCACTGACAGAGAGCTGACTTTAAAGATATGTATTACAATGTACCACAATAACCAAACTTCGTTCACAGCAGTCGATATATCGTCAATGGCGACATAAGCTACCCTTTCAATAGACCTCTTCCCCGGTACCCGTTACTGCGGACATTTACAATCCTCCCCCGGTACCCGTTACTGCGGACATTTACCATCCTCCCCCGGTACCCGTTACTGCGGACATTTACCATCCTCCCCCGGTACCCGTTACTGCGGACATTTACTATCCTCACCGGTACCCGTTACTGCGGACATTTACCATCCACCCCTGGTACCCGTTACTGCGGACATTTACCATCCTCCCCCGGTACCCGTTACTGCGGACATTTACCATCCTCCCCCGGTACCCGTTACTGCGGACATTTACCATCCTCCCCCGGTACCCGTTACTGCGGACATTTACCATCCTCCCCCGGTACCCGTTACTGCGGACATTTACCATCCTTCCCCGGTACCCGTTACTGCGGACATTTACCATCCTTCCCCGGTACCCGTTACTGCGGACATTTACCATCCTCCCCCGGTACCCAGTTACTGCGGACATTTACCATCCTCCCGAGGTACCCGTTACTGCGGACATTTACCATCCTTCCCCGGTACCCGTTACTGCGGACATTTACCATCCTTCCCCGGTACCCGTTCTTAAACTCCAACTCGACTGGATATAAACTGCATACACTTTCCTTCATTCATTTCTTCCCCGAATTTTACAGGGGCCGCGATGGCCGAGTGTATTAGGCGTCTAACCGTCTACGATCTCTAGCCCTCCCCACCACAGGATCACGATTTCGAAGCCTACACCAGATAATGTTCGCAGGTCGGTGATTTTCACCGGGTGCTCCGGTTTTTCTCCAAAATCTACCACTTCCTTAAACGCCAATAGCTGTTAATAGGACATAAAACACATAAACAAATCCCCGAACCTTACAAAGACCAACATTTTAGCTGGTGTGTCTTCCACTTCCGGTCCCATTGACCTAACAGACTACCACTGACTCATCACTTAGTCTGACCTTAAGGATACTTGTCCCACTGCAGAGTGAAATATCCCCTTGTTTTCCATTTGGATATAACTACAGCATGTTGATTCTAGTACCCTGTAGAACTTGCGTTTGAAATCTCTATGAAGGCACCCTTCAGGACACTTACTTTCTGTTAATTGGTAATTTGTTCGTTTTTCATGTCGTCTGTAGTTTTGTGTGGCCGGAGCCATGGCAGCCTGCATGTCACAGAGGAACAAATCAACGCTCAATTATTTTGTAAGTACAAGGATAATAGTGACATGGTCTCGATGACGTCACGTTGATTATTTCCATTTAATAGATTCAGGTCGTGACAAGAAAATCTCCAACCCTAAAACGTATTTTTTTGCTGCCTAACCCTAGGATATGGCGAGGGTTAGACAGCCAAATAATTACCACGAGGGTTTGAGTTTCCTCTGTTCGAGCCTTCAAGGTAGGGGTGGCTATTGATCTCCTATCCTACTTATTATTTAATCACAACTACGTCAACAGTAGACTGATTTGTTTGATTTGCAATTGTACCTCTGACGGTGTCAAAAGCTGATTGTGGTGTCATACTGTATTGTCCCTGCTGACGTCATCGTAATGTTTCTTTCTGTAAGCTACTTGTCATGCCCTAGCGGTGACAGAGAAATTTTGAACAAGAAGGAGGGGGGAAATATGTATATGATGGTTTAATTATAGGATGCTGAGTTAAAATGTACACGTATATATGTTTGTAACAATTAAAAGTACTTGTGTGTATATTCAAAGAGAGATATGAAAGTTAGATGTAGTTATTTTTTTTACAGAAACTGACGTTCCTAGTGCTGAGTATAATGAACGCCGCCATCTTTGGTCCAGTGTGTATGACCATCACAACCGTCGTGTCCGTCATGGTATGTGTGATGTATCTAACTTCCGGTGTCCGTCATGGTATGTGTGATAAATACACTTCCGGTGTCCGTCATGGTATGTGTGATGTATCTAACTTCCGGTGTCCGTCATGGTCTGTGTGATGTACCTAACTTCCGGTGTCCGTCATGGTATGTGTGATGTATCTAACTTCCGGTGGTGTGATGTATCTAACTTCCGGTGGAGACGGAGCGGGGGGGACGATTTGAATTGCTCTAGATAAATACACTTACTCCAAATTTCACACGTCACCAAGTAATATTAAATATTTTTTATTAAACGGATACAATTTGAATCTTTCAGTCATTCGTTCGTGGCCCTATATAGTGGCAAATTATCATTTCATAATTTGAACTGGTTATCCTTCAGAATTGCTTTCGATTTTAGTTCTTCGTAGTTTCTCGGGAAATATATTTAAGGTAGGAAATAAATGTGTATTCCCACAGAGAAACAAGACACTAGTAGCAATACACGCAACAAGAAAGAAGGGGTTGGTGCGGAGGGAGGTTAGTTAACTCTCCCTAAGACATTTTTTTCCGCGATGAAGAATCAAGAATTTGAATGTATTCTTCAATGCTGCAAAGAACCACTAATACAATACATTTCACGACGTCATTTGTTATATATGATACCTGCACAGCCCTCTTACGTTTTCAAACTGGTGTGTACCGTTTGTCAAAATATAAACAACATTCAACTTGATGAGACAGCATTAGTGGGTTTTTTTTATTTTGTCTCTTGTTTTAGTCTTCCTCTTTGAAACATATATTTCCCTGCTTTGTTTTTCATCCGCTAAACCTTCAATTGTATCGGGCTGACTAATCGCGAGATACATGGTGAGCATATGTTCAATCTGAAACTCATCATTATGACTCTCATGAAAATGAACTTTCCAGAGCGATTTGCCGGTATTTTTCGATCTTGTACGTGCTATGATCTGCTATCCCTTGATAGCAAGCTAAATTTTTCTTAATCGACACAAGTTTCACATTTTACTACATTCTTGGTTTAGGTTAACCTCACAGACACACGATTGACACCGAGACGTTCGGGTGTACACGTGTCGATAGGCTTTATTGACATACGATGGACGCCGAGGCGTTCCTGGTGTAAAGTAATCCATAGCCTAAATGTGTTGCTTGTGTGATAACAGAGACATACGATCGACGCCGAGGCGTTCCTTGTGTAAAGTAGTGCATTGCCTAAATGTACGATGGATGCAAAAGTGTTCTATTGAACAAATTTTGAAATATTTTGCTTAATTTACAGAGACACACGATGGAAGCAGAGACGTACCGATGGTTGATCCCCATTCTGACAGCTTTCTTCTCCTTCAACGAGATCGCATTTGCCATTATGTCTGCTTCAATTTGCTGTTGCTGTTCTCCTCTTCGGACAAATAGGGTATGTGTGATATAGTCCTGCATCAATAGACTAATCTCGTGGAGGAGTTGGGTGGAGGTGGTGGTGGGCTGTGTTGTGGAAGGGGTTGCTATTGCGCCTATACACAAAGGGAGAAACACATGCCCTTATCATAAAAGATTTGCAGAAAAATAAAATATAATTTAATGGGAAGTAACTTATTAAAAAAAGGTATTTAAATATATTCCGAGAGGAAATATATACAGTATTTATATACTTTTGAGCGGGTTAGGATTTGTGCATGGTATTTCAGCGAGATAGCACTATAAAGTTGGCATCAGATCCGCACTATCACAAGGAAGCAAACACATCGACATCCTCCAACACACATACACACATGCACACATATACAACACACAAGGAAGCACGTCCTTAAAATTATGATAGATGTTGACAGGACGAGAAACCATACACTATACATGGAAGCATGTCCTTAAAATTATAATAGATGTTGAAAGGACGTTAAATCGAATGAAAACAAACCAATATTTTGATTTAGAATTGATTGAAACTCCTAGTCTAAAAACAATATGACATCATTCTTATTTTTGACGTTAAACGTTTCATGTAATGTTGTTCATATCAACATAACAAAGTTAACTTGAAATTATTACGTTTTAACATATTTATGATTACCAAAAATCATATCATATTTGTAAACTCATCTCGCCGGGCGACAATGGTCAATCGTAAAATTCCTAAAATTCCTGTCATTTTATATGAAAACATTTCTATTTATCTATATTTTGTTATAGGTTAAAGTTCTGCTGGCTACACAGAGGGAAGATAGTAAACTATTCACAGTAACAAACAAGCTGACCGAACCGGAACCAGAAAAGAAACCACACAACGTCAATAAGAAGCCCGATCGCTGGCCGAAGAAGGAAAACAAACCCATCCAGGAGGAGCCACTGGTTGATGGGGAGGAGCCTTACAATTCAAACGAGGGCGTGTCTAACTTCAAGGACCGTCCAACCACAAAAGATTCCGTCGCTAGTTACGTTAGGCTCAAGAGACTGGCACTCCCATCATCCGAACAACTTACTACGTTCTAAGGGAGATAACTCTATAAAGAATTATCAGTATATGGCACGTCACAGAAAACACGTGATGATATTCAAGACTACAAAACATACAAAAGGTTCATTTCAGTGACATCCTTATGTGTATTCATTAAACAAGGAGAACCTTTCGTTACTAAATATTTGTTGGGTAAATTGTTTCCGAACGCGATGGAATTTGGCATTAGCTAGATATGTTTCTTATAGAAAGACTTTTAAGATTAACATGCTAGAAATCCGTCTGACATAATTTAACAATGGGGGATTGTTTTGCATTCTAGCTCTATTAGTGACCATGTTTGATGATATACATTGTAGCTGATCCTTGTGGACATGTGGTTTAAATGGTATCTTTATAATATAAATTAGGGGTTTATTGTTGTATATATTTTATTGTCCATTGACTAGCATTTAAAATTAGGAATGTCGGTTGATTGCATTTTGTCTTTTTTTTCGCGGGATAGCGTATTTTGAACTATTCCTAGACAGCGTTTTATATCCCTTTTGTAAAATGCAAAAATGGACGTACTTATATAAAACTTTATTTCCGGATCATTGAGGAAATGTTAATGTTTACTACTGGTATCGTTTGAGGCAGTTAATTTTTTACGTTCTTAGTGCTGAGTATAATGAACGCCGCCATCTTTGGTCAAGTGTGTATGACCATCACAACCGTCGTGTCCGTCATGGTATGTGTGATGTATCTAACTTCCGGTGTCCGTCATGGTATGTGAGATGTATCTAACTTCCGGTGTCCGTCATGGTATGTGTGATGTATTTAACTTCCGGTGTCCGTCATGGTATGTGTGATGTAGACTCGTGTACCAGGATCACACGAAAATCGACATTAAATGCCAACCAATAAATTCTAAATTATTTAATATCAATCAAAGGTTTTGATATTTTCGAATTTGTTGGAGCTGTTAGGTTGTTTTCTACGCCAGGGACATGGTGTAGATCTACGTATATAAACTTCAGTTTATAATAAAACCATTTCAATATGATTGTTTACAATTGTAAAACAGATATATGTACATTTTTAGTATAATTGAATTCATTTTAAACAAAATCCTTTAGTAAACATTTCAGTGAGAAAATGCCTACGTTACAAACCTAACCAACTGTTCAGAGGACGTAGTCTAAGAGTAAAGGAGGTCTAGATTCAATCTTATTTTCATTTCTGTAAACCATTTATAAAATTCACGGTAACTACCCCGCTCACCTCCCCCTTTTTTCGTATTTGTAAATTGCAGAATTTTCTCACAAATAGTAAACTAGTTCCAAATCTATGTCTTCGGTTTGCTTAAAGGAGTTTTTCAAAATTTAGTTCATACAAATCCTTGACGACAAAGGACCTTCATCCTGCTCGATTTTCCAGCCTTTATTACTTTAGAACTAAATTCTTGATTTGATGGGCATTCAGCAAAAAATAAAATCATTGAATTTGTTCATAATTTGTGTATGGCTTGTTATTCATTTTAAGTACTGGAAGAGGATCATGGAGTGAATCATATATCTGTCTGCTGATGGAACTATGACGTCACCGCCTCGTCAGTAACAGGAGACTTGACGTTACTACATTGAATTGAAAAAGGCAGAAAAATAATGAACGATTTAAATTTTTATTAATAACCCTTCTTTGAAATCAAAGGAGTGACTCGTCTCTAAAAAAATATGATTTCTGTATCTTCTGTTTTAGGAATTGAACCTGACTCAATGTTAACGATGTTAACCCTTTCCCTATTTTAAGTTACACAAAAATGAACCTTCAGGTTTTTATGAGAAACGTGGCCAAGTACAACGAGATGTGTACCTTTGCCAAACAAGATTTGTACCGTTGTCTAACAGGATGCGTACCTTTGTCTAACAGAATGCGTAACTTTGTCTAACGGTATGCGTAACTTTGTCTAACGGTATGCGTACCTATGTCTAACAGAATGCGTAACTTTGTCTAACAGGATGCGTACCTTTGTCTAACAGGATGCATACCTTTGTCTAACAGGATGCGTACCTATGTCTCACAGGATGTGTACCTTGGTATAACAGGATGCGTACCTTGGTCTAACAGTATGCGTACCTATGTCTAACAGTATGCGTACCTATGTCTTACAGGATGCGTACCTTTGTCTTACAGGATGCGTACCTTGGTCTAACAGGATGCGTACCTTTGTCTAACAGTATGCGTACCTATGTCTAACAGTATGCGTACCTATGTCTTACAGGATGCGTAACTTTGTCTTACAGGATGCGTACCTTGGTCTAACAGGATGCGTACCTTTGTCTAACATGATGCATACCTTTGACTAGCAGTATGCTTACATTTGTCTAACAGGATGCATACCTTTATCTAACAGGATGCGTACCTTGGTATAACAGGATGCGTACCTTGGTCTAACAGGATGCGTACCTTTGTCTAACAGGATGCGTACCTTGTTCTAACAGGATGCGTACCTTTGTCTAACAAGATGCATACCTTTGACTAGCAGTATGCTTAGATTTGTCTAACAGGATGCATACCTTTATCTAACAGGATGCGTACCTTGGTATAACAGGATGCATTCCTTTATCTAACAGAATGCTTAGCTTTGTCTAACAGGATGTGTACCTTTGTTTAACAGGATGCATACCTTGGTCTAACAGGATGCGTACCTTTGTCTAACAGGATGCATACCTTGGTATAACAGGATGCGTACCTTTGTCTAACATGATGCATACCTTTGACTAGCAGTATGCTTACATTTGTCTAACAGGATGCATACCTTTATCTAACAGGATGCGTACCTTGGTATAACAGGATGCATACCTTTATCTAACATGATGCATACCTTTGACTAGCAGTATGCTTACATTTGTCTAACAGGATGCGTACCTTGGTATAACAGGATGCATACCTTTGTCTAACAGGATGCATACCTTTGTCTAACAGGATGCGTACCTTGGTATAACAGGATGCATACCTTTGTCTAACAGGATGCGTACCTTGGTATAACAGGATGCATACCTTTGTCTAACAGGATGCGTACCTTGGTATAACAGGATGCATACCTTTGTCTAACAGGATGCGTACCTTGGTATAACAGGATGCATACCTTTGTCTAACAGGATGCGTACCTTGGTATAACAGGATGCATACCTTTGTCTAACAGGATGCGTACCTTGGTATAACAGGATGCATACCTTTGTCTAACAGGATGCGTACCTTGGTATAACAGGATGCATACCTTTGTCTAACAGGATGCGTACCTTGGTATAACAGGATGCATACCTTTGTCTAACAGGATGCGTACCTTGGTATAACAGGATGCATACCTTTGTCTAACAGGATGCGTACCTTGGTATAACAGGATGCATACCTTTGTCTAACAGGATGCGTACCTTGGTATAACAGGATGCATACCTTTGTCTAACAGGATGCGTACCTTGGTATAACAGGATGCATACCTTTGTCTAACAGGATGCGTACCTTGGTATAACAGGATGCATACCTTTGTCTAACAGGATGCGTACCTTGGTATAACAGGATGCATACCTTTGTCTAACAGGATGCGTACCTTGGTATAACAGGATGCATACCTTTGTTTAACAGGATGCGTACCTTTGTTTAACAGTATGCGTACCTATGTCTAACAGGATGCATACCTTTGTTTAACAGGATGCGTACATTTGTTTAACAGTATGCGTACCTATGTCTAACAGGATGCGTACCTTGGTATAACAGGATGCATACCTTTGTCTAACAGGATGCGTACCTTGGTTTAACAGGATGCATACCTTTGTCTAACAGGATGCGTACCTTGGTATAACAGGATGCATACCTTTATCTAACAGAATGCGTACATTTCTCTAACAGTATGGATACCTTTGACTAGCAGTATGCTTACATTTGTCTAACAGGATGCGTACCTTGGTATAACAGGATGCTTACCTTTGTCTAACAGGATGCGTACCTTGGTATACCAGGATGCATACATTTGTCTAACAGGATGCGTACCTTTGTCTAAAAGGATGCGTACCTTTGTCTAAAAGGATGCGTACCTTTGTCTAACAGGATGCATACCTTTGTCTAACAGGATGCGTACCTTTGTATAACAGGATGCATACCTTTGTTTAACAGGATGCGTCCCTTTGTCTAACAGGATGCGTACCTTGGTATAACAGGATGCGTTCCTTTGTCTAACAGGATGCGTACCTTGGTATAACAGGATGCATAACTTTGTCTAACAGGATGCGTACCTTGGTATAACAGGATGCATCCCTTGGTATAACAGGATGCGTACCTTTGTCTAACAGGATGCGTTCCTTTGTCTAACAGGATGCGTACCTTGGTATAACAGGATGCGTTCCTTTGTCTAACAGGATGCGTACCTTGGTATAACAGGATGCATGCCTTTGTCTAACAGGATGCATTCCTTTGTCTAACAGGATGCGTACCTTGGTATAACAGGATGCATTCCTTGGTATAACAGGATGCGTACCTTGGTATAACAGGATGCTTACCTTTGTCTAACAGGATGCGTACCTTGGTATAACAGGATGCGTTCCTTTGTCTAACAGGATGCGTACCTTGGTATAAAAGGATGCGTACCTTTGTCTAACAGGATGCATACCTTTGTCTAACAGGATGCGTTCCTTGGTATAACAGGATGCATACCTTTGTCTAACAGGATGCGTATCTTGGTATAACAGGATGCGTACCTTGGTATAACAGGATGCTTACCTTTGTCTAACAGGATGCGTACCTTGGTATAAAAGGATGCGTACCTTTGTCTAACAGGATGCATACCTTTGTCTAACAGGATGCATACCTTTGTCTAACAGGATGCATCCCTTTGTCTAACAGGATGCGTACCTTGGTTTAACAGGATGCATTCCTTTGTCTAACAGGATGCGTACCTTGGTATAACAGGATGCTTACCTTTGTCTAACAGGATCTGTACCTCGGTATAACAGGATGCATACCTTTGTCTAACAGGATGCATTCCTTTGTCTAACAGGATGCGTACCTTGGTATAACAGGATGCGTACCTTTGTCTAAGGATGCGTACCTTGGTATAACAGGATGCGTACCTTGGTATAACAGGATGCATCCCTTGGTATAACAGGATGCGTACCTTTGTCTAACATGATGCATACCTTTGACTAGCAGTATGCTTACATTTGTCTAACAGGATGCGTTCCTTGGTATAACAGGATGCATACCTTTGTCTAATAGGATGCGTACCTTGGTATAACAGGATGCATGCCTTGGTATAACAGGATGCATCCCTTTGTCTAATAGGATGCGTACCTTGGTATAACAGGATGCATGCCTTTGTCTAACAGGATGCATACCTTTGTCTAACAGGATGCGTATCTTGGTATAACAGGATGCGTACCTTGGTATAACAGGATGCATGCCTTTGTCTAACAGGATGCATACCTTTGTCTAACAGGATGCATACCTTTGTCTAACAGGATGCATTCCTTTGTCTAACAGGATGCGTACCTTGGTATAAAAGGATGCGTACCTTTGTCTAACAGGATGCATACCTTGGTATAACAGGATGCGTACCTTTGTCTAAGGATGCGTACCTTGGTATAACAGGATGCGTACCTTGGTATAACAGGATGCGTACCTTTGTCTAAGGATGCGTACCTTGGTATAACAGGATGCGTACCTTTGTCTAACAGGATGCGTACCTTGGTATAAAAGGATGCGTACCTTTGTCTAACAGGATGCATACCTTGGTATAACAGGATGCGTACCTTTGTCTAACAGGATGCGTACCTTTGTCGTACAGGATGGATACATTTGACTAACAGTATGCGTACCTTTGTTTAACAGGATTCGTAGCTTGGTCTAACAGAATGCGTACATTTCTCTAACAGTATGCGTACCTATGTCTAACAGGATGCGTAGCTTTTTCTAACAGGATTCGCACATTTGTCCTACAGAATGCATACCCTGGTCCAACATGATGCATACCTTTATCTAACATGATGCGTACCTATGTCTTAGAGGATGCATAACTTTGTTAAACAGGATGCGTACCTCGGTCTAACAGGATGTGCACATTTGTCTAACAGGATGGATACCTTTGTTTAACAGGATTCGTAGCTTTGTCTAACAGAATGCGTACATTTCTCTTACGGGATGGATAACTTTGGCTAGCAGTATGCGTACCTTTGTCTAACAGGATGCGCACCTTTGTCTAACAGGATCGATACCTTGGTCTAACAGGATGCGTACCTTTGTCTAACAGGATGTGACCAACAGTGGTACATGTACCCTTCCTTCTTCCTTTCATATTGTCATATTTGCAAAACAATGTGTCTCTCACCGTTAAAGAGTCAAGAGACCTGACGTTTTCTCTCATTGCTTCACAAATGAATGAGACGTTTTCGACAGCTTGTAAGATAAGGTTTCAACTGCTGTTAGTGTCTAGCTGAGTGGTCGATACCATATTTACCGTCGTATCTTGCCACGCAATGTCGCGTCATAAGAGAAAGGACAGTGTGGTAATCATAGAATTCCGAACCGTATGCCGAATCAGGCCAAATGACAACACTAGCACTAAACGGTTTCGATATGTTACATGTTCAAATGCTATTTCTGTGTTGGAAAAAGACCGATGGGAGTAATACAGTTAAATTTAAGTAATATTTCACACAAAAAACCACGAAAATTAGTCATTTTCGATTTCTTTCGAATTTTAACATGTGATATATACCTACACGATCTACTTATTACAACTGTGTTTGTTTTCTTTTGCAATTTGTTTGAGGTATAATGGTAGAATGGTTAGACTATTAGGAGCTTTCTGTTACTAGAAATTTTGGTTTATATATATATATATAAATAACTTTATTTTACAACAATTCTGAAACAAGTTATTTCAACTTATACTAGTCACTCTTGTTGGCCTATCCTCGATATCTAGGGGTTACGCTCACTTTCGCTCTTTGCAACCCTGGAATATGTCATGGGAAAATTGAAGGCACGAAGATAGCTGTTTGATTGGTATCAGGTAAAAAAATACTTACCAATCGCTAGGCTGATACCTGGCCTTTGAAGATTACAAAGGTGAGACGCCCGACTTCAAAGCCCGACACCTTTTACCGTTACATGACCGCGATATTCTTTTGATGTACATCAAAGGATCAAACTAGTCTTCTCGTCTCATCAACAAGGTGGTGCATACTGAGCCTTCAATTTTGCTATGCCATAATCCAAGGGGTGCATAGAGCGAACGTTAGCGTAACCCCTTGCTAGCGAGGATGTTGTTAGCCCGGATGGGAGGAACTGCAGTACCCGGGGAAAACCCACGTTGTCGGGAAGGTCACCCTATACTTTTTTACGAAAGGTGAAAGGCGAGTGCGCTATCCACTGCGCCATCCGACCACCGATCTTGGTTTCGGAAACCGAGTTACGAAAAACAATTATAAAAACCGTTCTCAAACGACGCAGGTTCGTAAACTCTCGTATTTCATACCGATAACAATAATAACGTTGTAACACCTATTTTACACGATAATTTGTTTTCGAAACAAAATCAGAAATATGACTTTTAAACAATCCGGATTGTATTAGATACTACTTAGTAAAAAGGCACCATACATCTTGCAGTTCTTTACAGAATGATTTAAGCAATATACGTAAATTGATAGTATATAGCAAAGGGACGAATTTTGATTCGGTATCGGACGTTTGTAGAGACGTGGACGACAATTAAAAAATGAATATGGGCCTAAAATATGGCTTCAGACGTCAAGAAGAAAAATTGGAAATTTTATTATGGGTCGTTAAGTGAAGAACAAATAATGGTAGCCTTGTTATCACGTCCGTTCATCAAGTTATCAAGGCTGCACACGTGTGAAATCTAAGACAAAAGGTCATTTCTCTGTATAAAGCTTGGTTAGCTTACCGGCAATTCAATGCAATTGTTTTCAGATATTGTTAAATCAACAAAAGTCACTTAAACTGCATTTAGATAAAAAAAAAATAACTCAATATGTGATAAATCATTTTAAATACTTTTACATTTCTACAAATATACACACATCTTCAAAGCGTTAACGAGAATCTACGTTTGAATTTCGTTAAGATAACAAGGTATTGAAAACTTTGTCAGAGATATGCCATAACTGTTTGACGTCACCACTACTTATCTTGCACTTCCGTTAAGTGACGATAGCGATTGTTCTCTCAAATCACTGACCCCCAAACGCCTTGTGACTCAAACCACGCCCGCCATTACACCGGTGTTGAGGGTAATAGACATTCTAAGGATTAAAGGTATTTAATTTTATTATTACTAATGGATAACCCAGTTGCCTAGGATTAATCTCGGAATCAACATTTGTTAACTTAACATCTGCTTCGTTCACACACCATATATACAGTTATTAATCTCCTTTGACATAGGAAAATTATATCTGCCTACAATTTCTCTGTGTCTTTAATTTATACCTAATTTGAATGCATATCTCTAGGATATGCAAAATTGAAAGATTGAACGGTATCTGTTTGTATGTGACGTCATACACATATTAGTTACGTCACATGGAAATGAAGATATATATTCTTTCTGATTTTTTTGATGCATTGCAGGGGTGAAAAATACGCGAAATGGGGTTTATACCTGGAGTCCTATTGTGTGTATTCCTGACATTTTCATTGGTCGACAGTCATGCGAGACGTCAATTTGTCCAAAACGGCGGAGTCACCAGCGGAGTGGCGAACAGTACACACCCTTCCGGTATGTACCCATTTCCGAATCAGATCCAGCCCCAGATTCACCATCCAAACGTCATTCACTTCATAGGAGCCGGATATGATCTGCTGAAGGTAAACCAAGGGGCAAAAATCAAATATTGTAAGGAGCATTACAGCTGTTCTCGCATTTTGTGTTATTTTAACGACTTCTGTATCTGTATCTGTACCATGATTCTCTTATTTTATTGCGTTTCTAGGGTAACCCTGATGGTGGTTTCTGGGACAAAGCCGGGGACGACCCTGGTTTAAAAATAACACAGAAAATTTTCTACGTTACACAAAGTCTAACAGGAACTCCCCCTCAAATTGAGCTTGAACACCGGGATAGCTGTTTTAAATCGCATGAGTACAATCTCATTTACAATACTAAATCTTACCAGGATAGACTCCGCGAAGCTGTGACGTCATCAGGTACGTCGTTTTTCACTTTTAATGAAGGGCACCTTTCATATTGTTTTGCATTTAATTTCTAATTGAACATTTCTTATTGTTTTAAAGTACAGCTATACAACTGTTCACATTTGTTTGATAAGTATGCACACGTACATTATATCATTTATGTTATTCTGTGTTCGTTTTGATTATGTTCAATTGTGTTTCACTGTGTAACAGTTTATTTGAGGCCTGTTAATTTCCGCTGTTACTACTACCGGTTTTGTTTTCTTTTTAACAGGGGATGCAGAAGGTGGGCTTTCAGAGTACGCCTTTACTCTTAGCTCAGGTAATTGTACAAAAACGTAGCAAATAACTGTTCAGTTAAACATAAGTTATTGGAATTGTGTATGCGTGAAATAATAAACATTTGATAACGTAGAACACAAGTTAAAAAAAGTGATGACACATATCATACGTTAGCAACAGTGATTACAAATAATATACGTTAACAAAAGTGATGACATACAACACACGTTAACACTGATGACGTAGAACACGCGTTAACAGAGATACTATTATTGCAAGTTCAAAATTGTGATGTTACATTCAAGGTAGTAAGTTGGTGTTTACAACGTGATTGTGTCTGTGATTTAACACAATTGCTTTTCAACACATTCCATATTAGTTATGATCAATACATTGTATGAAATGTCTTAGTAATACAATTTTATTACATTCTAGCAAAAACAGAAAACATACATTGAGCTACGGAATGAAATTCACAGAAACATTTCCTTTAAAAACATTTGAAATCAAAATCAGTTCATTTTTTTTTATTTTCTTTTCCGGCTGTATTATATAACAGGAGCGAATAAACATGTAATGATGTGAAAAAGGGGCATTTTCTAAATTGGTTATCACAAATGCAAGCAGATCGTCTTATGAACTTTTTTTATGCATTTCACAGTAGATATTTCTATTGTATTTATCTATCCAAACATTACACTGTGTCAAACATACATAACCGCATATAAGAATGACGTAATACACGTTTTTAATTGGCAGGCTATAAGGCCATCGCCGTGCAGACTGCTCGACACAATTACATTTTCCAGGACTACACTTCTTTCTGCAATATGGGGCATGCGCGGTTGAAGCTTCATCTTGCCCAATCAGCTCATATGTCCGTAACGAACGAATTTGCTGCCGCCACGTGCCAGCTTCCAACGACGTATGACCAGGACGCTTACGTCAAGTTCATACAGGAGTGGGGAACGGTCAGTTTGTACATCGGAACCTTGTTAATTCGGACAATGTCAATTACATACAAACTTATGAAAAAATATTTTAGTGGGAAACCACCATTTGCCTTTCTTTGGCAAAAGGGCGTAGCCGAATGTAAATGAGCATTTTGCATTGCTTAGAATGTACCTAAGTGGAGATTTGCTGTTCAGTTTTTCCAAAAATACCAGAGTTTCTTTTCCAAAAAAGGTGTAACGTTTATTTTGAAGTGTAAAGCAATAATGTATTCTAGCAAATAGTCAGAAACCATCCGTGAACGTTTTCAAATATCGCTCCTTTTAATGTTTTAACGATTGTTCGTTTGAATATTTAAGAATGTATTATGAAGGTTTAATATGTCAGTTAATACTATATATGTATATCTATTGAAGCACGTAACATTTATTGGGTATCATTCATGTGAGCAAGTGATAAAATTATCTTTCTCAGCCGTTTGAAATTACATGTACTAATATATATCAGCACATGAGATTACTTATCCTTCCAAGCACGTTAAATTACTTGACCATTTCAGCACGCGATTTTATTTTTGTTTTGCAGCACGTGATCACCGAAGTTGAAGTCGGTAAGAAGCTGACGTACAGGTACCAAACAACACTCAGCCAGTACATAAACTTCATCGTCAACAACGTAAGATTAAATAACATTACAACGAGTCCTTTAAACGTTTATAAAACAACGGGGTGGGGTACGGGTCAGGGTGGTGAACGGGGTTGGTGAGGGAATGTTACACTGGTTAAATAAAATATATAATAATAATTATCATTATATAAATGTTGATTAATTAGTTATCACAAACACTTATCATTGACTTAAGGGTGGAATGGAATTATTTTCTCAAACCGCTGTTACTACAAAAGAATTTCTGAAGTTACATTCAGTTGCATCCCCCATCTCCCCCATGTTAGTAGTATTCACAAGCACGTTCAAATTTGTTTTTGACCGAGATAGCTTTTTATTTATCTAGAGAGAAAATCAGAAATATATTAAAATCGTTCAAATGGTTTTCATATGCAGTGATTACGTTTTAAAGACACTTAAGTTGCAGTTCTATGAAATCTCATCTTGTCTCGCTATTGCAGGCTAGTGACGAGATTTCGATCGGAGGACCAATGAACGGCTTCGACGCATCGCTTGGTGTTGATATGGAATCCTTCAAATATAGAAATGAATATCGCGCCTTGGTTGGTCAGTATCTTTTCTCACTCTTCTTTGCCCATTTTATGAATATACATCTGTGTCAATAAATTACCGAACACATCTAGTGTTTCAGATTTAGCACATTTGTGCATGAAGAGTTTCGTTAGGTTATCATGATTATCAATTATCACAAAAGCGGTCAAAGTATACATCAATGTTTCCGGTTGTTTTTCTATTTTACCGGTAGGTAAATATCACGACACACTTGGAGCCGGAGATATGATGTATAACGACGAGATCGAGCTTGTTCTTCTTACGCTAGATGGCGCCTTAAAACCGGAAGTATGGACGAACTTCGAATATTATGTACAGCAAGGTGTTTGCTCACAGGAGGTGAATAAAAAACAATCTATTCATACTTCTTAATTTCCTGCAATATTTCCGTTTTTGCGAAGGCATTCATTTTTGCGTTGATTTACCAGCGAAATTAAGAAACCTTATTACGAACAAGAACGTCTTAAATATCAAAAATAAAGATCAGGACCCAGTTCCTTGCCTTGTTCGCATAGTTAAATAATTGAGTACGTTTTTAATGCCGTATATCTACACACAAAAAATAAGTAAATAAATAAAGAAGTTGATCTTGGAAAAAATGTTTTCGTGACATACAAATTTCGCAGGGAGACTGCATCATTCACGAATTAAAATCTCCTGCAAAAAAATAAATAATCCTGAAACGGTTACGATTACTCTGAAATAGCATCCTCTTCATCGCGAATTCAAATACTCCAGAAAAAACAAGCACACAAGATTCAAAATGTACACGTTTACCTTAAAATTGTGTGTCGAAGACTCGTGAATTCAATAACGCTTAAAAAACGTTGGATTTGATCATATTGGCGGTTAAGGGCCAATACCAAAAGGAAAATATATTTGCGAAATCTGAAGCATATAAGTTTATCGATATTAACGATCCCTATACTACCGCAGTAAAGTATCCTCTATAACTTTTTATACATTTATTTTGATTTTTGATTTGGATACAGCTTTAGTAAGACTGTGACAGGGTCCTACTGTAGACCAGGTAGCTTAATTGATTATATTGATGATACATAATAATATTAATAATATACAATATAGCGCCCTATATCATTTGTAAAATTACTCTAAAATTACTCATATGGATAACAGTATAAGTTATAATTGTGAAACAAAAACAAAGGCTTACAATCCCTTTTATACATTATATATTTTTATATATCATGATTTGGACTCCCTAGTTGGAACACAGATCTGGCCAAGTTGCAGTTTTAATCTCAGAACGCAGTTGTTGATTTATTTCTGTTCCTTTGATATTTAAGTATCTATTTACTATTATATCTTTATAAACGTTTAACAAAATAGGATTTTTTTTCTCCGGAAAGACTCTGTCAAAGCTATAACGGGAGGCACGGTAGTCTAGTGGAAGGACGCCGGGCTCGTGACCGAAGGGTTGCGGGTTCGAGTCACGGTACGGCACTGTGTTGTATCTTTGAGCAAGATACTTTACTCCGCTTGTTCCAGTCTACTCAGCTGTAAATAAGTACGTGGTTGGGCAGTGCTAGCATTGTTGAATGCTAGCTGTGAGCTTTGAAATGGCAGCTACGGCTGTATGCTTCCCAGGGAATTGAGAAAGATATTGGCTGGTTGCAAAGGCCCTGTAACCACGGATAATTCTTTGTGAAACGCTTTGAGACGACCTACGAACTAGGTTGTTATAAAGCGGCATATACAATGTAAGAACCTCGAATTATTGTTATTAAAACGGTGCTGGGAAAATAAGTTTCCGATGCGTAGTTGATCTCATAAGGGAGTTGTATTGGAATCGAGCATGATTATGTACCAGCAGCTTCATATTCTGTAAACGTTTAGATTTTGTGTTCTTTAAGACATAATGCCTCAACCGACTTTTTTCCTCTCCGAAAATCATTTATGTTGATTATACAGCAGGGCACCAGTCTGAGTAAATGGAGAGCCAACATTCTGAAGGCGCTCGCAGTTTATCCTAGAGTCGTCGGAGCCTCCACACCCACAGGTAAAGTGAAAAGGTGCAGATGTATTACGCATGTCTGATATTTCAGTTTATATTCACATAACTTAATGTTCGGATTAACTCCATAAGAAAAACAGTTTCTTGTGTGACGATTTGCTGACAAGATAAGAACTTTTCCAAATTTATATCCCTTGAGGTATAAACTGGAAATGCTTTAATTATAAGATACAGGAAATTAAACAAAAACACATTCGCTTTAGAACTTCTTACTGGTTACAACAGAAAGCAAGGATACCCAATCGATAGTAACAACTAAAATGTAGATAGTTTATCAGAAAGAAACACGCACTCGGAGAAAAAATCTTGTTTCTGAGTACGAAACCATCAGGCGAGAATACTGCAAAATAAGAAAAAGTTAAATCACAAACAAGAAAAAACAGATAGGATTTAGAACCTAGAACCTGATGCCAAACAGAGCCCGAAAATTATCTGGAGGTATATTAGCTCCAAATCTTAAACTGAAAGTGATATCTGCGACCTCTAAACCGTGCACGGAAATGATCAGTCGCGCAAATCGGTTACGGATAAAGAAAAGGCAAATGTACTTGCAACATGTTTTAAGAGTGTTTTTGTAAAGGAAGCGTCAGATGGAGGTGAGATTCTGCAGATTTCAAACAGGAAAATATCGGTACCAATGTCACCTATATTTATTGATAAAGAATAAGTAAGGAAAGAACTCAAAGCTTTTGAAATCTACAAGTCTCCGGGACTTGATGGATAACATTCCTTCGCAATAACACTGGCGATATTGTGCAATACTTCACTGACATGTGGAGAAATGCCAAATGATTGGAAAGAAAAATAACATTAGCGCCAACTACAAGAAAGGCGATAACTGTGACCCTGGGAACTTGTAGTCAGGCCCGTCAGCTTGGCATCCATAGTTTGTAAGGTAATAGAGACGATCTTGCGGAGACACATAGTGGATCATATGAGGTAAAATAAGCTACTTTCGCCGAAGGAATACGGATTCCTTCCAGGCAGGTCAACTACTCTACAGCTTCTGAAGGTACTGAACGAATGGGCCGATGCTTTAGATCATGCTTTATCGATAGAGTACATTTACATGGACTTTCAAAAATCTTTTGATACCGTTCCACATAAAAGATTCATAAGTAAAATGTCATCGTACGGGTTTAGTGAACAGGTTTTTAAATAGACGACAAGTTTCATTTTAAAAAGATAACAAATGTAATCGTTGAAGTGCGAAAATTCAAGTTGAACTTCAATAACATCTGGAGTGCCCCAATGATCCGTCCAGGGACCCCTTCTGTCCATACGACAAATTTAGATCTCTCAGATAATATCAACTCTACCGGCTACATTTTTAATGATGAAACAAAACTGTACAAAGTGAATTATGGGATTGAAGATACAAATGATGTCCAAGCGGATATTAAAAGACTCTCCGAATGGATCGACACATGGCTTCTGAAATTTCATCCTTTAAAATGTAAAAATATATACATAAGTCGTGCGTCATATTACCTAAACAATGAAGCATTAAAAGAAGCATGCCACGAGAAGGATCTTGGAGTGTTTGTAGACACTGCCCTAACATTTGAAGACCAAATAAGTGCAGGTAAAATAGGCAAATTCAATGTTCGCTGTCATTCAAATAACATTTCAATACATCAATGAACACACTTTTCCACTCTTATATAAACTCTAGTCAGAATTCATCTAGGATATACAAATACAGTATGGTACCCATAAAGAGCTTAACAAATTGATATGCTCGAAAGAGTAAAACGAAGGGCAACGAAACAAATGCCGGGATTTGGGGATTTGTCATATCCGGAGCGGCTAACAAGACTAAATCTACATACTTTAAGTGACAGACGTGCACAATCACGAGTGGTGTCTATGATCGAAACCTTAATTTGTGGCAGGACTATGCCGAAAGACATGGTATAAGGGGACATTCCAAAAATCTTTACCCACAACATCCAAACATTGAAATAAGGAACAACCTATTTTCACTACGAATAGTGAAGTTATGGAACCGTCCTACAGAGGATGTGATACAGCACCATCAAGAAATACATTTAAGAACAGACTCGATAAAAACTGGATTGATCAGGAAATCATTTATAAATACAGAGTTAACATAACTTGTTAAACATGTGATATCCATGCCCTAACTTTCATTTATGTGTACATGTATATATATTTATATATATATATATAAAAAAAAAACATGTTCGAGTCCATTGTAGGGGATCATATAGATCCTGTATCGGAAAATAAACTAAACTAAGCGTAACTTTACTATATTAAGGGAATCCGAATGAAGCCTAATATAATACATGTGCAATAGTTCCGGTCATCGTCCCGTCTGAACAAATACCTAATATAATACTTGTGCAATAGGTCCGGTCATCGTCCCGTCTGAACAAATACTAAATATATTACTTGTGCAATAGTTCCGGTCATCGTCCCGTCTAAACAAATACCTAATACAATACTTGTGCAATAGTTCCGGTCACCGTCCCGTCTGAACAAATACCTAATATATTACTTGTGCAATAGTTCCAGTCATCGTCCCGTCTGAACAAATACCTATAATATATTACGTGTGCAATAGTTCCAGTCTTTGTCCCGTCTGAACAAATACCTAATATAATACTTGTGCAATAGTTCCGGTCATCGTCCCGTCTGAACAAATACCTAATATATTACTTGTGCAATAGTTCCAGTCATCGTCCCGTCTGAACAAATACCTATAATATATTACGTGTGCAATAGTTCCAGTCATTGTCCCGTCTGAACAAATACCTAATATAATACTTGTGCAATAGTTCCGGTCATCGTCCCGTCTGAACAAATACCTAATACAATACTTGTGCAATAGTTCCGGTCATCGTTCCGTCTGAACAAATACCTAATATAATTCATGTGCGATAGTTTCGGTCATCGTCCCGTCTGAACAAATACCTAATATAATTCATGTGCAATAGTTCCGGTCATCGTCCCGTCTGAACAAATACCTCATATAATACTTGTGCAATAGTTCCGGTCATCGTCCCGTCTGAGCAAATACCAATCCATTGTACGCATATTTTTTCTTTCATCGTCAGACTCTCCTCTCGCCATACCTATCACTTGGCCAAGTGGAACATACGGGCTTCCAAAACCGATTTCGGATTGTCCCGGTCACTTCAACTGGACAGAGGGGTACCGAAAGGAAAACACGGAAACCACTAACCCAAACAACACCTGGTCAGCAGATAATCATTTTGCGGGTAAGAAATGGCAGAATAAGTTCCGTTTGTAAATTATGAACATTTTGACTTGTAGTTTTTATCATTTCTAAAAAGTAAATTAAGCAGCATATATACCTCCATATCAGAAACTTAATTGAGAAATAATCAAAATATATCGAGGAAATACTGACACCATGTTGTTGACGAGCGATGACGATAGATTGGTGGATTTGATTGATTGAAACAAACATCTGGTATAAAGCATGACGTCAGTTAGTCTTTATTGTTTATCCTTCCAAAACATAACCAGCTTAAATAGACAAACGCCCAAAATGTCAGAAATGATGAAAACATATAGCCTGTTATGCAATGAAAATTTAAAAACATCACACAGATACACAGATTTTATTCTGACTGTAGGACTTAAAAATCCTCTGCTGTCAGCTCAGTACGGTTTGAACAGATTCTGACATGAACATGGACATAGAAAGTATTATCTAGGTAGTTATTTGAATAACATTAATAATTAAACTTTGAGATGAAAATTGAATGCTTATATTCCCAATTAAAGTCATTACGTGTGTTCACAACTTTAGCACGTGTCAGATATTAGCGCGCGCAAAAAACCCCCAGCATAATTTGAATGTTTTGATTGTCTAAGTCGCCTTTCTTATCAAAAGCGTACGCGTATGGATACTGAAGTTGACACGAAAAAGAGTTTAGTTACATTTCACTTGGTTGAATAGATATAATGAACACATGTCTGTATATTATGGTATGGTAGATTATATAGCTCGGGATTCAAAGATGTTGGAGAATTTCGTTCTTCTTAGCTTCACTTGTAGGATAAGACATAACTTGAATTTGACCAACATCTTCATGGCGTTTTATTTACTTAATAACATGACGTTTTGTTTTCTTTTACATTTGCGATAGGAGCGCTGACGCCATCGTCTATAACCTTTGACTTCTGCATGAAACCTCTCGCCAACCAATCACCGTACAGTATAAACTGGACCAAGGGAGACTACTGTATTTATAAATACGGATCTTGCCCGTTTGGTATGTCATGTGGCTGTATATCCGGATAACTTCAATAAGATTTATCAGTTTAGAAACATGTTATATCAAAGTTGTACTTTATACACAACGTATGTACTCGTTGAACTTGTCTCAACGTTCCAAGTTGGAGTTGTCTTTTTTCAAGCTATGACTGAGTTAGCGATTTGTATTGTTTATCTGTACACCGATGTGACGAAATTGTATATTTCTTATGTCACTCGATCCGGGCCGTTTCGCCTATCTATAGAGAGCGTATACGCATGTGTCGAATAGGTTACTGGTAGGGTGTAGATCTATCCCCTTTCCCGTTATACGCCCTACCAGTAACCTATTTAGACTTGAAAAAAACATATTTCAGGAATGACATAGTAACAATAACAAATTTTATACAGGGTTCATGGCAGGAACTATCCATTTTGACGACGAGAATACAAATAACCAAAATTCCCTGGGCGGCGATTATCCGGACGGAACATACAGCATGGATACAACATATAGCTACTGCTGTAGGTACGTCATACGGCACAGGAAATGACGTCATCAAAAACATAAAATACAGGAACGGATCACGGGTTTGAGAGATTGAGAAGGGTATTTTTTCTTACCGGTTCAAGAGATATTCTCTCAATATATTTATCAAAACCGTGTGTTTGGTGGATTGTTTATGGCTTTGTATGGTTGGGAGAACGATTCGAGCTCGGTGTCTGTGTCCATAAATTGGATTTCTCTTTAGTTATTAATACTTATCGTTACATGTAAGTACTAAATCCAAATAATTAGTTATAAATAAACTGTGCCACATCGACCACCAAAGCCTAGATTAGGGTTCAAAGGGTACATGTCACCATTGTTGTGATGCTGTAGTGATAACATGGCTTTTTATGGAAACGATTTGATCAAATTCCAATCGTTTGAAAAGTAAATATGTTGTTATGCAACTATTTAAAAAATTGTTACTGAAATATATGTATTCTTTTGTCAATACAAACTTAACATTTGCTACTCAAGAGGCGGACATCACGAACTCTATAGTTTCCATCTCGAATTGGCATTGACTGCAGCATTAATACCAAATAAAAGTCATTTCAAAACTTAAATATTTATGTTTATTCTCAGGAGGAATGTTCTACATATAATACCTAGATCTTGCAAACTTCATCTGATACATGTACCTTTAAACTTCGTTTTATTCTTAGATCCGATGGTTCGTACGTGAACCCTATCATTCTACCAACCGATAAACCATTCTACTTGTTCAAAAACAAACGTGGTTGCCAGCACGTGCATGGCATGGTTGCTAAGGAGGAATACGTACGCCTTGACAACGAAGATATGCCTACCTCCAGTTATGGTCAGTCATCAGCAGGCTATGGTCCTCACCCTGCCGTAGACATTGTTCGTTACCATGACACCACTTCCACTCTTCACTTCTGCTACTACTCAAAAGCCGCCGGGGGGCCGGGACAGGGGCCTTTGGTGGGGTGAGGTCTGAGGAACGGTCCGATAAATTGTCGACAAACGATAATATAGCTTAAAATGGTACAGAGGTTTACCAGGTTTGTGCTCTCGAAAAATATTGTTTCTGTTTAAATGTTTAAATGTTGTCTATTGCAAGTAACAGTTCTCAATAAAGAACATTGTTAACAATTTATTTTTTCAAATTATTTGTTGTAATATTTAAATGGAACCAAAAACATAAAATCATCTTTTAACTCCAGTTTATCTTCATATGTACATTTATATATCTCTCCAACTAATCGAGTAAACAAAACACGAACTTAAGTCTTATGAAATTTCTCAGACGAAAGGTTCCGATACAAACAATTTAAACATAGACGTATGCTTCTTCGAAACCCATCAATACACTGTATCATAGTATTCCCAAATGGGAAAAACTCTCGGCTTGATGAGTGTTTGACAACTTAATAACTTCCGTGGGTTGAGACCCCGTATCTCATCTCATTAGTTATTGCTCCTTTACCATGTTTATCTGCTATTCATATATATAGTCTGGTATTCAATTGCAGCAGCTGACGCAAATGAGCCACAAACACAATCATTGTGGAGCAAAATCCCATGTTAGTGAGCAACAGAATGTATCTCGTCTTGAGAAAATAATTAATAATTAATAATATCAGCTACTATAAGTAGCTTTTGATAGAAATTGCTGTACAGACTTCTTTTTTTTTCTATTGTCAGGAAATTTCACGTGTGTTTCACACACGTGTTCACAAACATCACCTCTTGTGCGAGTTCGCGTTTCGATCTGCTGACAAAAAGTAGATGTCTGTTACTATTAATAAAGTTTAATAGACAATGCTCAACAGACTTCATTTCTTTACACACTTGTTAATCAACATTACCCTTTGTTCAGGTTGCGGTTTGACCTTCTCTGGTTAAAAACGTCATTGTGATGAGTTTGAAGTGCATGTATTCGTATCGCCGTCAAAGCTTTGTTCCTTTTTTGGTTTAATATCAGTGTGAACCTAACATTTTTTTTTATAAAAAATGTAAAATCCACTTTTAAATGTTAACAACCATTTTACAATAAATACTGACATTTCGTCCTCTTAAGGATTTAAATTATCATGACCAGGTATGCTACTGAAATTTAGACTTCAGTACAGTTCTTTATTTGTTCAAATACAGCTTTTGTAAATTACTGATAAAATGAGAAACACAGTTGTACTTAAAGAAGGACTTATCATCATCATCATCATCATCATCAGCAGCAGCAGCATCATTATCATCATCATCACCTTGACGTATTAAGTCAGGAGACGTTTGGATGAAATATCCTCTTCAAACCAGCATTAAACAATAAGTGTTTTTTTTATTTTTCTATTTCTTTTCCAATGCCTCAGAGTAAATAATTAAAAAGACATTATTACATTGTTTATAATTCATTTTGCGCCGAAAATAGGTTCTTGACGGCAATTATTAATAATCAATGTTGATGCTTGTCTTGTAATGAAATTATTCATCTTCAACTGATCAAAATATTACCGGCTTTTTAAATGAAATATAACATATATAAAACAGCCTTAGTTATATAAACTTTGTCGCTTTAAATGAAATCGCCTAACAGTCATATGGCAAGCTCCCGATCTTCATTCAGTTTCACGAAATTTGAACAGCCAACACAACCTGACCTCATAACACTCATGATACAGGAAGATTTATAGTAGGACAACCGGCTAGAGTTACGTGTTAATAACCATTCGGATCATCAACATGACTCGTGACCAGACATTTCTCATCCCTGATCGTTAAATCTACTACGAATCTGTAAGTGTCTCTTAACGGATGCTGTTATTAGTCGGACTACACAAACGAAATTATATTGTTGAATATTTTGCGATAAAGACTTTCTTAAGGAAAACGTTCCCTTAAACTGACAAATCATTCCGCTGCTGTTATTAAACATAGACTGATAAGCTTCATGTATGACACAAACCAAATGGCATGGTTAGTATACAAAAAAGTGGATTATAATTCCTGCTATTTTTCAGACTTCACATTTATGTATCGATAAAATATTTCACTTCATTTTATTTGTTTATTATATGTTTAGGCAAGATGTACATTTTGTTATACACGTCTCTGTTATTGCCGTTACGCAGAAGTGGTTAAAAATAGATTGGGGATTTCCTTTTTCAACACATTTCTATAATTACCGTATGATCTAAATATGCACATAGTGTAGTGATTTCTTATCGCCTGTGTAATACATTGTGTTAGCGTACACACAATACTTGGGACACTTCTACATATAGGCAGACATAACATCACTGACTTAAAATAGTTCACCTAAGGATCCCTGTACTACCGTCAGAAACTGTAAGTACACATCGGATGCTGCTTTTTGGTATATTTCTGAAAAGAAAGCTACGGACAGGTGTAATTGTACCATAAATATTTTTATGTCAGGAGACGTTGTGATTGATTTCTTCCGAAAACCATAATTATTATGTTGACCATTTAATATCATATCTCTAGGTTTAGTGCATCAGAATATATAACTAAAAGCACAATTCTGAAAAAAAAATATCCCAGAAAAAATAGTTCATTTTTGACATACTGTTATATAATATGCCACAATGTCTACAGATACACGTCGTAACAGATTTATAGATAAAACAACAATACTTTTATACAGCCACAGTAAAGAAACCCGGTTGCTTTAAAGTTAAAGATATCGGCGTCCGATACCGGAATATATATATAGCCATTGGTTTTACCAATCCAGATATTTCTGGCGACACGTCAAACATATTGCCACCCAAGAGGGGCGGCGTTTGCCTTACATTAGCATTGGCTGAATTCAGCTGATACAATTTTTAACTGACCATATAACTAGAAATCAAAATAGTTATGATACCTGGAGGTTTATAGTTGGACATACGTTAAGAGTGAGGAAATACTAGTGACCCGTATCTACATGTATAGGCAATATATACATTTTCGTATACACGTCACATTTATTGATGTTTCGCAGAACTGGTTAAAAATAGATTGGGGATTTCCTTTTTGAACACATTTCTATAATTACCGTATGATCTAAATATACTCATAAGGTAGTTTTTTCGTTTCGTCTGTGTAATACATTGCGTTAGCGTACACACAGAACTTCAGACAATCCTACATATAGACAGACGTCACATCACTGACTTAAAATAGTAACTTAACATACGAAGAAGGGAACATTAACCTAACGATCCCCGTACTACCATCATAAACTCTAAGTACAAATTGCATAACTACTGTTTAGCTTTAATAAATTGATTCTGAAAAGAAAGCTTTACGTTGCTGGACTGTCATGACCACGTATGCTTCCGAACATGTGTAATTGTAGACTCTAATACGTTAATGTAAGGAGACGTTGTGATGAAATGTCTCTCCAGTCAGCATTTCAGGAACTAGGTTGAACTAATTCAGTATCATATAACTTAATTGAGTGCTTCTTTGTTTATTTAAAAACACAAAGAATAAGGTTATTTACGGTACTTTAATTGATGTTGATACTTGACATACTATGATAATATGATACATTGACTACAGATAAACAGTGTAACAAATAAAGCACATCTATTGTATTACAGCTTCAGTGAGGAAACTTTGTTGCTTTTAAGGTATTCGGCGTCCGGTATCCGAATTTATATTTAGCCTTTGGTTTTACCGAGATATATTTCTGGCGACACGTCAACATCATTGCAACCCAGCAGGGTCGCGCGCTGGCCTAACATTTCTGTGGACAGCTCTAGGTCTTAATTTAGTTAATAAAATTTTGAACTGACTACATAACTGGAAACCAAAACAGGTATAATAATGGGAGGTGTATACATGTAGCTGGAGAGACGTCGAGAGTAAGGTGGTACATGTGATACGTATCATCCACTTCTTGGATCTATAAAGGTGACAATAAATCCGTAAGTACTTTATCACCTTCGATATGATAACATTATGCATATATATTTATAATTAGTCACATACATCGAATTGTTCTTTGTTCAGCTCACAGAAGAAGTACTTGTGCTAATGCTAGAAAATAGTCTATTACAGATAACGGCTCATTAAGCTGACAAACCATAACATTACGGATGTTTAGCATCAACTGATAAGCATTCTGTACGACACAAATCAAAACGGCATGGTTAGTTTCCATATTAAATACCGATAACTATTGTTTTAATGCGTATTGTAATTCCAGCTGTATTTCAGATTTTACACTAACATTGTATGTATTAATTGTATTATCTTACTTTATTTCATTTCTTTAATACAATCAATATTGTATTTTGATGTACACGTAACACACAGAGCTGCTTCTTAGAACTGTCTTAAAAAGCTTGGTTATTTCCATTTTGTTCACTATTTATATATTTAAATATTACCGCATTACCTAAATATACACGTATGATAGTGTTTTCTTATCGCCTGCGTAATGCGGTATGTAAATGTTCATAAGACACTATGAATGTATATTGTGACTCAATTATAATGATAAAAAGAAAATTTCATTTTTATCGACTATATACGTCATATTTAAGCACTATCATCAAATGGGGATCATGATATTTTGTCACGGACACAATTAGCATTTATTTATTACCAGATTGTTATAAATACATACGATCTAAAAATAGATCTCAGGAGACGTTCCAGTTAAATGTCAGCAAACCAGCATTACAAAGCTCACCAATATGGAGATGTTTTAACGCAAATCTTAGCAATCTGATAAAAAAAGCAATCTAATTAAAATTATATCTTCACATCGCTCCCGTTTACTGATATGTCGCGTTGAAGATCTAACAACATCCCATAGAGGGTCACGTCAGAGGTCAACATGAATGCATTATCGTATTTATAACAAGCCAATCAAAACGCGACATAACTCTTTCTTTCAACCAATCAGAAAGCAGGACCTGTAGCATTTAATGCAGACACCTCGTAGCCCAAAATCCACTTTTTCGTCTGGTCCAGTGATAGTTTGAATATTGCGAAGCCTGTCATTGGTTAATTTTAGTTTCAGGTTGTTAAACTTTTTAACGACAACATCACCAGAAGAGGAAGTCTCTCTTATTTCAAAGCAAAATCCACAAATTGTACAAACGTTGTCTTGTAGATAGACACGGCGTGGTGTCATGGGCGCCGCCATTTTCGATGCTCATTTGACACCTCTCGGTCTTTTATCATAGCAAGTGTGTTCCGAAATCATTACATCATCACTTACAGAAATGCGTAAGCTCTCATCTGATTGGTTAACGCAAAGGTCGCCTGAACATGACCCTCTACGGGATGTTGTTAGATCTTCAACGCGACATATCAGTAAACGGGAGCGATGTGAAGATATAATTTTATTTAGATTGATAAAAAGAGGATTTTTATTGTTTTTACTTATTCCAAAAATACCATGAAATGAGATTCCACAATTTTTTTATTTGATGCATTTTTGATGTGGTAATCTACTGCAACAAGGAAAATAAAAATAACGATTTTGATGAACCTTGTTAACATTTTATTCCTCACAAAAACTCACCATATAAAACGTTTTCCTAAATAAATTGTACAAAAACGTATGCTATCGAACAGGAGTGACTAAACCCTTAAAAACTATGTTGAACTTTTTTCAGCACCATATCACTAAATCGAGTGCTTCAAAGTATCTTATTATGAACAGAAATATTAGGTTATTTACGGTACTTAAATTGTTGTTGATACTTGACATACTATTATAATGTGACACATTGACTACAGATAAATAGTGTAACAGCTAAAACACACCTTATGTAATACAGCACCAGTGAAGAAACTTTGTTGCTTTAAATAAATACCGGCGTTTGGTTTCCGAATCTAAATTTAGCCTTTGGTTTTACCGAGATATATTTCTCGTGACACGCCAGATATATGATATTTTTACACACTAGAGGCACTTGCCACATATGTATACAGGTAGCTCTATGTCTTAATGCAGTTAATCAAATTTTGAACTGACCACATAACTAGAAATCATACAGTTATAATACCGGGAGGTTTAAAGGTAGGACAGACAGCCGTCAAGAGTGAGATAATACTAGTGATTCGTATCATCATTAACACTCGTGTCCAGACCAGTCACTTCCTGGATCTATACATTTACCATCGAATTCGTAAGTACCCTAATCTTTTTTAATATGAATCATCTTATGCATATATATTGATTTTAATTTCACATTGATGACTCGCTGTTGCTTAAGCTCATAAAAAAATACGAGTGTTGTTAAAGTAATGCAGGAAAAGAGTCTTTTAAAGATGACGGTTATTTAAGCTGACCAACCATACCGCTTCGGATGTTGACTGATAAGCTTCATGTGCAACATAATTCACTTTACATGGTTAGTATACATATATAAAATACAAATAACTGTTGCTTAACTTGTAAATTAATTCCAGATTTCGCAGTTACGTATGGATATCACTACTGTTCTATATTTTATTTCTACAATATAATCAATACTATATATTGATGTACACGTTACCCTTAGAGCTACTTCTCAGAACTGTCTAAAAATAGGGAAGGAATTTCCATTTTGAACACTATTTCTATATTTAAACATTACCGCATTACCTAAATATTCACGTATGATAGTGTTTTCTTTGTGCCTGCGTAATGCGGTATGTAAATCTTCATAAGTCACTTCAAATATGAAGGCGTTTTGTGACTAAATTATAATAACAAAAGACAAAATTTTATTATTATCGACTGTATACAACACATTTAGGCACTAATATCAGAATGGGGATCATGGTATTTTGCAAGGGACACAATTTGCATTGATGTATTACCACACCGCCATAAATACATGATGTGATCTAAAAATATATCTCAGGAGACGGTCTAGTGAAATGTCAGCAAACAAGCATTAATACATAGTACAACATTACGGTGATGATTAAATGCAAATCTTAGTATTCTGATAAAACGAGGATGTTTGTTCCATTTATTTATTGAAAAAAAATACCATATTCATTTTCAATGTGGTATTCTACTGCAACAAGGAAAATGACAACTAACGATTGTTTTTGAATCCTGTTAACAGTTTCTTTATCTCAAAATCTATAAAACACACCACACAAAACGTTTACCTAGAAATTGTACACAATTGCATGTTGTTTCATTTACATTCCACAACAAAACTGATTCAGTTGACAGCTGTCTCTCATCAGACATTGAATTGTTCCTAGAGGGACTTTTAAAAACACAAGGCAGTTCCATTCATAAAGATATAAATGGCAGAATTCACCTAAAATTATGCTATCATACTTGTTTCATCAGCTAGATCGACTTCCAACTTGAAACAAATACCAGTATTTAGCCTACCTATATTTACGTTGGCATTACTCTCATTAAGTGGCAGCCGTAACTGCTTACAGCAACCATAACTATAACAGAGGTTAAATTGTTAAAATATTTTCTGTTACAATTTGCCCAGAGTCTGTAAAAATGGTAGTTTCTACTCCTGCTTAATGCTCAGCAATTTATGAGTGGGACAACTGGTTCGCCCGTTGTCAGTATGATGTGACCGGATGGGGTGTCCTGCTGGATGTCTTCGGCAGTATGTTTCAGTGAGGTAGCACTATTAAGTCGGTATCAGTTCCGCGCTATCACAAGGAGACAAACACACACACGCATACACTACACGCATACATCTTGCACACAGGGGAGGCCGTCCTTAAATGACCGAAGTTGTTGATAGGACGTTAAACAATACTAAACTAAACCAAACCTGTTATAATTTGCATGAAATTTTACATTTAAAGAAAAAATGATATTGTGACCAAAGTTTGGCATGCAATGTAAAGAAGTACTTTTAACTGAATTCTAAGAACAATATCCCAATATAGCAATTTGATTGCAAAACATTTGAATTGACTGCTGATTAATGTTACAAGAACTTCAGTTTGGCAATAATTACGAAAACATAAATATCTTAATTCACATGTAAGTGCTTTGGGACACTTTCATATTTGAATGTCATTTTCAAACATATAATTCTTTAGCTCACCTAGTCAAAAGGACCGATAAGCCGTGGCGCGGCGTCCGTCGTCCGCCCGTCCGATCCGATCCGTCCGTCCATCAACTTTTCCTTTAAAACGCTACACGTCCTAAACGGCTCCGTGGATTTTGCCTTAATTTCACATTGAGCATTGCCTAGTGCAAAGGGGACTTAGTTTTGCATAAGTGGAGGTTGTGCCCCACCCTGGGAACAGTGGGGTGGGACCCAATAGGGATGATCGAGATAAAACTTTCTAATTCTTTTTCTTCTGTTCGGTGCCCAGTAGAGGAAATTACATTAATTCTTTCAAATCCTTCTTCTTTTGTACGATTAAAGGGATTTTTATCAAAATTTGGTTCAGAGCATTAGGGCAAAGGTAAGTCATTTTTTGTATAAACGGAAGGTGTGCCCCCCTTGGAGGCAGACGTGTGGGGCCTAATACGACTCGAGGTTAATCTTTATATCCTCGTCAATTGTTAGAATTAAGGGACTTTAACCAAATTTGGACCTAAGCATCCCTAGGCAAAGGGAAATAATTTTGTGAAAACAGAGGATGTGGCCCCCTTGGTGGCAGAAACACAATTCCAAATAGTGGAACTTCGGGTAAATATTTAAAATCCTTCTCCTTCAGTTTGATTGGAGGGGTTTTAACAACTTTTGTGTAGAGCATCCTTTATCAAAGGGGACTCAATCTCCTTTTGGCAGAGGGTCTGGCCGTATATGGGAAATTGGCATTAATGTTTAAAACTAGCGCTAGCTTGGAGACGAAATTTAATCAGAACCTCATTTGATGGACACTCCTTGCAATACATGTTTATACCCAAACTTTTGCCAGAATACAAAAAGACCCTTCCAGAGTATAGTTACGCCTGGTATAGAGCCTACGTTACTGTGGTAGTATTTCATTGTTACATATAGATCCACACTCTATCATGTTGTAAAAGGAAAGCCATGTCGGTGGTATGTATTTATGAAAATTACAAAAGCAAATTATTGGAATTGAAAATTTGGTATAAACTAAATTACTATTAAACTTAAAAAATAATGCCTATTTAGTTCCGCGACGTTTCCTATTCACGGTTTTGGGTGTACATTGTTCCCTTGGTCAAATTTTTACATTTTTGTTTATCGACTTTGAGTTTGAGTTCGAACATAAAATGAGCTGTTTTGATATGTTTTAGGTGACGCCTTTAATACCTCACAGTTGTACTAGACAATATCAAGCAGCTGGTTTTTGTATACAGCCATCTTGTTTAAGCAACCAACAGCATGGATATTACTTAAAGACAGCAGTGCGTAGAACTGCATGAGGACCGTTTACTCCAGCGACCTAACTATTTGTGTTTTGGTAAAGGAAATTTCATGGCATCCGAAAGCTCCATCCGATGTAAACGATGGCGTGAAAAACGCAAAGATGATGTAGAATACTGGAACCAGGAAAGATCACGAAAACGTGAGGCCAGACGAACACGACCTGACGAGAAAAAACAACATGACAGGGAACTTAGTAGAAAACGGCAGAAAAAATTCCGCGATCGCAAGAAGCAGAAGAGGTGTAAAGAGAGTAGTTCCGTCATAGAAGTGGATGGGCCGACTGTTGAAACTGGAATCGTCACAGAAGATGTATCATCTGGATCACATGATGCTGACATGTCAGCAAACTTAATTTCAGTTCCGGAATCCGATTACATGCTTCTGGAATCTGATGCGATAACGTCTAGCAACTTTAGGGAAACATATCCAGATGGTATAAAGGACGGGAATTCTCCAACACCGGATTTACATTACTTAAAAAGCAACAGGTTGGTTTTGGTTTTCTTAAACTCTCAATATACGACCTAATTATGTTAAACACTTATATGCCTCAGTGATGTATCATGCGAACATATTTTTACCGCCTCAGCACACACCTTCATACACATGTTACTGGGCTGGGTTAGTTCCCAGTGAATGTTTGAATAACTCACAAAGACTGTTCATTAATCAGTTCACGTTTATTCTTGCATGTATATCATCGAATTCCATGAATTAATATCTGTCTGTTATATCTTTACATGGATATCCTGAATTCTGTAACAGATACAAATAAGACACATTTAGATGACATACATATCTCTTACATCTATACTTACACCTATACATACATTATCACACATACATACATACATACATACATACTTACATATGACCCTATTTATTCAATGTTACTTCAAATAATCTAAGAAACCATATCATTCTAACAATACACAATATGTTAGATTTATTAACCTTTACACAATATATATTTACACTTATAAATCTTGGATCAATACAGTCTAAGGGGAGATAAGCTACCCTCAGCATTACATTTAGCATTAACTTGGAATGATACTCAAAATACAAACTTCGCAACAATATATAGATATATGTGTACCTGGCTATGGGCCGAATTCCTAGACTCTTCCAATTATAATCAATATTCAGTCGACCCAGGGTCCTATGCATAAATAAAATACTATATGTTGCAATGGTTCTAATTACTCTTAAAACATCTTCACCAAAATAAAACCAATATATATGTACCAAGATATCTTATCAATCTTAGTTACTGCAGAAATACAATAAATGCATGAAAATAGTTTTATGTTCAAGCAGCTTAACTTTTTACAACAGATTTGCATTAATTTAAATTCGACTTTTAGTCTTCCAACATTTTGTCAGACCAATGTACATTCAAAAGGTAGCAATTACATATTTTACAACATTATACAAACTACATGTTAATAGAGAAGAACAAATAGAAACTTACAGGAGTATGAAGCCATGTCAAGGTTCAGCAAAAAGTAGTAGAATAGTAAGCCCAAGTGGCTTCTCCAAGATCTGACTCGAAAGTGCCAAATCACACAAAGAAATCTTTCTTACAGACAAAAAGTGGAGGGAAAATGAGGACCAATAAAAACATGTTTCGTTCAATATCTCAACCAATGGTATCATCATCTTATGTCAGGTGTTCAATTAGAAGGTTCCACTTATAGAAGTATATGCTTACCTGTATATACCCATACAGGTAAAATGGGCTCACCACCACTCACACATGCTCACCTTTCAGATCACTCTAGCTACAGGAAAATACACACACAATGACATATACATGGACAATACGTGGATAACACATTGTGCTTGGTGAAAGGTAAAATGATGTGCTGATGATGATGCTAATAAAATAATACAACACTTAGGATTAAAACTTACTATATACACTCTTAAGATTTTAACCCTGCCACACACACATTATACATATACATAGCGGTACGTCCATACAATATCTTAGCTTTCAATAGAAGCTTAACCACCTACAGCAAACCGAACCAAACTCGTATCATCGTGATGCAAACTATAATCAATATATATAATTTATCTACGAACCATGCTATGATGCATATGCTACTATGAGTTTCTACTGTAAGCAATTTGTTTTCTTTTCTTTGCTATCTTTTGTGTTATCAGTAGCTAATGAAGTTTACCATTTTAGGTCGGCCAAAGAAACTGCACCTCATATAAACCTTATACAAAATGAGGATGGAAAAGGAATAGACATCATAAATAATGACAATGCACGGCAAGCTTATTTTGAAACAATACAAACCAAATTGTCTCTGGTTGAAGACTTTAACTCTGTTAAAAGTCGCTGTAATTCAATATCACAGTACATCGAACAAACGTTCTCGATACGCGATTTACCGACATTGGACGTGAGAGGATATCATCTAGATAACGTCGCGTCAACTTTATACCCCCATGATGATTCTCCAAATAACCTCGTTCCCATACGCACTGTCGGCGATGGAAATTGTCTTCCACGGGTTGGTAGTTTGTTTGCGTTTGGAAATGAGAAACACCATGTCGAAATGAGGGTCAGGATTTTCATGGAATTATGCCAGTTCGAGGATTATTACTTAGACGACTCTTATTTGAATAGAGGAACTGAAAAGTCAGTAGGAAATATAGCAATGACCCTTGCACAGTATTCAGTTGACTATTTTCTGACGGACAAACACATGTGTCGTGAAGCTTTCCGAAAGTACATGAACGCTGTACTGCAGCCGAACACCTTCAATGGAATATGGAGCATTTTTGCGCTAGCTAGCGTCCTCGGTGTGCAGATATTTTCTATATACCCATCATACGGAGGTTACAATGTGAGGCGACATCTTCATCGCCAGGTCATGCCCCGAATATGTAGACACGATAATGATCGAATAGTTCACATCATGTGGACAAGTACACAGGGAAAACAACAGGAGCCCTCATCGTGGACTCCAAACCATTTTGTCGCTGTCCTTCCTACTCAGGAACCCATTCATTCAAGTGTTCAAGAAGATCGTGTCGGACCAAAAATGCTCAACATTCAAGTTGGAACAGACCAAAGCGGGTAAATGTTTATACATTTTCGACTATCATAACCTGATATTGTACCGTTTATATTAGTTCTGTTATCAACATTATTAAGTGTAAATATCAACAGTGTCTGTTCAAATAACAACATATTTATTTGTAACTTAATTCTTATTTGTTCATCCGATTACATTAATTGTTGTCCATCATGCCCCTTCTATTCCTTCTTTTATTATCCTTGGGGTATGTTTTTTATGTATAACTGTCGATAGATTGATTGATAGGTCTGATGTACACAGTGGAATTACGCCCTCAAATCCTATGGACGTGCCGTCAAAATATCGTCCAAACGAGAAGGTGGAAACCCCCACTTTTATAACCCTGCAAAATGTGTCCAGAGAATATTCAACAGTTCCGCTGATACATGAAGCTCCTGAAAGAACTATACTACTACAGCAAACTGGGCATGATAATCCAACGATGCCATCTCTCTCTGTGTCTGAGGGTTCGGTTGATGGAAATGATACACAACGACGGTAATCCTATATTGAAAGTGTTCATATGTTGAGTTCCTGTCGGTCTGCAGGCAATACGTTTATTTATACAGTTACCTCCAGTTAATTTCGTGTTTGATATAACTGTGCAAGTATTGTAGTGCGGCCGTATTACTATCGGAGTGTAAGGGTTCGGATCCCAGTCTGTCCTCTCTGCATTTTAACTATATTCTCACGACACTGTATCATAATTCCGTCTTAATGATTGTTTGAATTAAACGTCTGAATTTAAGAAACCTATTAAATTGTGGATTATAAAAGTGTGTTTTTCATTTTGTATTTTGTGGCGATATTTTATCCTTTTGTCTGTTTTTTTTAACAGACACGAAGACCGGTGCCTGTCACATCCAAATGAGGAACTTTTGTACCTTTGTACGACCTGCAATGGACTTCCCATCTGCTATAAATGTCATCTACAAGGACACCAATGTCATAAACTGACAGATTTGAAGGCATGCCTTGCCGAGAGCGAAACTTTGTATGTAACGAAACTAACAAAGAAAGAGGAACATCTGAAAGACGACATCGAAAAACGGAAATTGGATCACGTCCGAAATATGCAATGCATAGAAAGCGAAATCGAAGACGCACATACGTTTTATAAAGAACAATTGACCACATGGGTATGCAATCAAAAGGCGTGCGTGCGTGACAGAGATCAGAATATAAGACGCCAATTACAAGACCTGGCAGCACAGATAGGAAATCCAGACACATCTGTAGAGGAAAAACTTCTTGAATTAAGAAAGCTGCCAGTATCACAACGACTTTCTGTAATGTCTACGGAACCACAACAGGAAACTATATCCGGCGGATATCCCCGTACAAAGCTCGTGTTCCGTGATAGACCAGTCCATTTCTTAGGCATGTTAGGCACCCTTGCCGAAATACCCTGTCAGAGTGATATATCGACTACGGATGGATCCATGCAAGCGGCTTACGGATCAGAACCACTGAGAGTTCCCGATGGAGATAACGGTAGGACACAAGCTGAACGAGAAGGTCCTAGGAAATCGACAAACGGGACAGCAAAGACTGATTTGAGTACAATGAACAATTATGACAAACGGTTTAAAGGTTTGGAAGGCAACATTCTGGAATCATCAATGTTTACTCAAAATGACCATGCATGGATTCCCGGATCAATAGAAACGCTGACCAACAATCACCAACAATCACCACATGGAACATCTCACAATGTTCAATCATCTGCTTATGGCAGATTGGAAGTGCCGTTGCTCAATGGTCCAATACAAATGCTTGACCGCTTGTCACCTGTACAAAATTCCACAGGAACACAGATCAATGAAGTGGAGACAGAGCTAAATCACGATCATGTCACGTTCGCAGGGAATACCAGAAACGAAAACAAGTGTACAAGATTGGACACGTCTAATGTGATCAAAGCAGACATTTGGGTAAAAGCTGTTAAGGGAACCGACTATGATATGATAGGGTCTCATCATCACATTCACAGAAGTACAACAGACATAGCAACTGAACCATTTATGACGACGAACTTCTCACAAACAACTTCGAAGCAACGACATTGTGACCCTGGGTTTACGGGGCTGGTGAGAATGGAAACTCAAAACAGCAGGAACAGCGAAACTCGAAAATACGTTTCGGAGGGTCAAGCGCTCGATACAACCGTCCACCCTGTCAACCTTATTCCGGCAGATAAACTGACACATATTCCAACCGGTATCTTGAACGATGTAGGTAACGTGGTAATCGAGTTTCTGCCCTGCAGGTAGGGCGTAAGAATTGTACCTGCTGCCCCCAATTGCATGATCGTAAGAGGCGACTAAATTTGGGACCTTATCTCTTCTCTCCCTCTAAATAACTTTCTTTTTCCTAATGTCTCCCTTGACAATGTCTCACTTTTGGCCATTTGTTGAGAGTTCGCCCCTGTGAGGAAGGCTTTGGGTTCTGTCCCCTGGCCGAGACATACCAAAGTCTTTAAAAATGGCAGTTTCTACTCCTGCTTAGCGCTCAGCAAATTAGGAGTGGGACGACTGGTTCGCCCGTTGTCAGTATAATGTGACCGGGTGGGGCGTCCTGCTGGGTGTCTTCGGTAGTATGTTTCAGTGAGGTAGCACTATAGAGNGAGTTTACGTTACCATTACATGATGATGAACCTCTATACTTTAAAACTGTTGGTACTTTTTTGTATGTTTAAGATGATGTACGAAATGTGTTATTACAGGTGAGTAAGACTGGTGTCATACAACAAGAAAACCTGTTGAATCCGGAACAAATTATATATGGTATGTGTGTGTCACCTGTTGATAACACGATTTGGTGCGTTTGCAATGATGGTAGTGTCAGACGTAGGACATCATCAGGAATTATTGAGGAAATGTTCAAAGTCATTGGCATTCCGCATAAAATACTTGTAAGTAGTTCTGGGGACGTGCTTGTTATTGTGATGGGTAGTAGACTTACACTGTATACTGCTACGGGCCAGGTGATGCGGAGTACTGCGCTGACTGGTTGCTGTGCATTTCTTACACGTATCAAAGAATGTCCAAAAACACATGACATACATGTAGGTACCTGTGACTATTTCTCCTTACCAAAAATCATAGTGTTTGACAGTTCGTTGACAAGTTCACGTAACCTTGAAGTCGCTGAAAAATGTAAATCTAATATATTTGACTTCTGTTTTGACATGCATGGCAATGTTTTGGTATTCTCTTATGATAGAATCAACATGTTTGAACAAAGCACAGGTCTGCATATCAGGACTATATATCTCGACACTTTTACTGAATCAGACCTTCGGTTTTGCGATGTTGATGATGATAATGTTCTGTGGGTTCTCAGGAGTGAAGCCAAGATTACAGGTATTCGTTTATGAAACAAATGATTGTTGTCTACACTAAAAACGACAATCATTTGTTGATATAGTATTCAGTTTCAAATAGCCACGAGGGAAAAACTTTAAAAACTGGATTTTTGTGGTGCGAAAATGTTCGCGATAGGACACTTTAAACGGCGTGACAATTGTCTCGTTTGCAACGGTTCTGGAATCAATATTTTCTATATAACGTTAATCTACAAAATCTGTAAACATGTATTTGCGTGTAGATATTTTTGCATAAATTTACTCAATGCAAAAACGCGATGATTTCAACACCGCAAAAAATCCACTTTTACAGTAGTCGAGGAAATGTTCCAGACACGTGAACAACTGGCGATGCCGGGAATTTGACAATCAAGGGACTATAATATTGCTATTTCACGAGCTTCTTAACCAGTCAGTAGCCCCTTTGTTATATCGACGTAAATAAAACCTTATGACTATGTTATTGTGTTGGCTTCAACGCCGCCTTTGTCTGTAAACACGTGCCTTTTACTCGGGAAATAATCTGGTCGAGAGAAACCATATCCCGAAATCTCAAAAATATGCTCTATTTTTTGTGTTTATATAGGTATCAGTGTTTTATAAAAGGATATCGTCGTGTCCCGTGTAGAAAGGGAAGGTTACTTAGACAGCACAGTGACTACTTACAATGGATGATTACAATATACCATTGAGTAAGCAGTCAGAGAATCTGTTGTAAAAACAATATGCAACGTGTCGATGCAAAGATATTTAATTAAAGCACTAGACGTGCAGACTATACCACTGTGACTGAGATTACGAGATTGACTTTCGTGAAATGATAAATTTCATTCGGGCTTAAGCCCTCTTGATATTTATTGTATGCAGACCTACAATTATTGTATATGTACATATTATATTTTTGACAAATCAGTACTAATCATTACCCGTGTTTATATGCAAATTGTTTCTTAAAAAGACTTGAACCATACAACAATGGTGAGCAAAACGACATCGAGGGTGGAGGAATGATGTCACAATATCATAGTGTAATAAGGCATTACATGTAACATGTTCAGAATCCATTATTATCTCATTACCTTGATCAGTGGATAACAACCGAGGAGTTCCAACCGAAACGAAATTGAAGGCAATGGGACAGTTCATCATCTTGTATTATTGCAATGTGAAATACAGGATTTTGTATTGCTTGATATGTAAACTGTTTTTAACATTCCATACTGATATGTATTGATTGTACACTGCATCAGTAGGATGCTTTAAATTGTGATGGTGGAAATTTCGACCAGAAGACGTACATACTTGAGTAAATGTATGAATATGTATGATAATTATTTTAATGATTCCAGTTACAACTGCAAAAAACTTTAACTATGTGTTAGAAAATTTAAGGAAATGACACTTTCATTAAGCATTTTTGAATGGAAAGTCATAATTTCAAAATTCTTTGAAAAATGATATATAAACACAAATCTCTACGACAATATTGTGAGTGTGAAACAAAATTGGACAATACCAGTTCGGAACCCGAGACCTCCGGTTATTATACTGTTGATCTATCCAACTGAGCTTCCTTGTAAACTGTAGTATCCTTACCCTGTCGTTCTACAGTAATCTTCAAAACAAAATTAAGGGGAGGTTACTGTTTATTCAAAAAACTACAGTGGAACTCTTTAGTATTTTGTTTGCAGTTTGAGCGGATCCTTAAACATGCATACGAGTATACTGAGATTGATGATCCTTTACGTCAACTAGAAGATAGATATCATTGATTCAGGGTTCCTAGACTGTTGGAATCACTACTAATACTTATAACTTGTAAGTCAGCTATTGTTTCCATATTTTGTAGTATTTGATTTCATCATATAATATTGTTCTATATTAGATTATATCATCACAAACGATGAATACGCAAAACGTGTAGTATGACCCATTGTGACGTCATACTGAACAATATCTTCTTATGTCGTATACGCTGTTAAAAATGGATGGATTGATACCTATGTCGAATATGGCGCCGTTCACGCTTCAGCGAGATTTCTTAGTTCCTTCTACATTCTAAAAAATATATCATAAGTATTCGGATCCTATATGTGCAAAGAAATGCTGAAACCTTTCATTCCATAGATGAATGTTCAAACTTTGACGGTTAGGTTAACAATGGCGGATTCCTTCTGGGATTTTAGACCGCACCGCTACCAGAGCAGAATGTTAATGCGCGTACATAACGACCGTTATTAATTAATACAAATGTTCGAAGGGCTACTCTTTTACTTTATTTGAAAATAAAATTTAAAATCTATGAAAAGAAGAAAAAATGTACACTGCATATTCCCTAAATTAACCCATACATCGATGAAGATTCTCGGGAACTATATACATGTGACCCTAGCAACCATGGCCGCCGTCGTGCCATCGTAGCAACCCGCCTCGATTGGCCTTCATTTTGACGGCGTGAACGGCAGTATGAACGCAGGTGGCAACGCACATATTCTATGGTGCACGTTAGGGCTCCATACAGAGTAGCCAAATGCGTCCATACTACCGTATACGACGTCAAAATGAAAAGCAATGCTTATATATAAATATAAATCGGCGAACATGTTAAAATGTTCTAGCAGTGTAAAACATGACGTCATTGGATTGTAACATAAATTGATCAAAGATATAATATTAGTATTTTTCCATACGCATGTTTTCTTTTTGTATAGACGCATTCCGTCTTTTCCTTATATTAAAATATCTCACACCGAGGGTTGAAACTTATTTGGAACCGTAGGGGATAATTGAATTCCTCTCTGTCTTCCGCGTTCACCATTTGTAATTTATAAGATTTTTTTCTGAAATGCACTTTAATTCACAAGAGCGTGACGTCATACAGTATTTTACTGGTTCCGTGACGTCATGGAATTATTTTTTCTCGTGATATCTGTTCTTACGCTATGGTCTAAAGGAGAATTGTGATCAGCTAAAACGGGAGATAACTATATGAACGATAGGAGAATACATATAATCTATTTCCGAAGGGATAACGTTGTGACGTTACACAACAAAAAATCTCAAAAGATTTTGAGTTCAAATTGCAACAACAATTGAATATATTTATTGTCATTATTGTAATGTCACTTAAAATGTATATTGGGAGAAGGCGTTGATAAGTTGTTATAACTTGTGCCTAATCCCTTGTCTATTTTTGGCAATAAAAGTGTTTAAACGAAACACAAAATGTAATTCCTAATTTTGTTTGTTTTTGTTTTTGTTATTAAAGTCCGTTCTAGGAAGTATGGCAGCAAGTCGGATTTTGAACATTATTTAACTATCCTGTCGAAAGATCGGATGGCCGAAAGAGCCCCGCCATATGACGTCATAGTATGATAATCTCTGAACGAAGTTTCATGCCTGTTATTATCACATTTTATGTTATAAACTTTTTATTATTTTTTATCTAAATAAACAAGTAATACAATATGAAGATTGTTTTCACTATATGAAGATATTCATGTATGGGTTGAAACACTATTGTCTTTGCTTCAAGGATACATTTCCTGTTTCCCCACTGGACGTCTACTTCCGGACGAAAAAAATAAAGGCAACGTGAAGACAGGGGAAGCAACTCTGTATACCCACGTGTTACCATTAAAGAACTTCGCTCGGGCGCCGAAGGTTGAACGGTGATTAGTTTCTTTTTTTCCGTGTGAAGATCATAGTTTAAGTTTTGAATGCGTTACATTTTATATCCCAGGATTAAGCCCAAGAACACATATTATGCAGGTAGCCTGACTGGTGCTCAGAAAGAGTTTCAGCTGCTACAAGGTAGTCATACAGTTACTTAAAGATGATTTTTTCAATAATTTTACTGACACAAGATGTAATTGAGATTGGCCTATAATTACTGACATCATTTAGGGACCCCTTATCCTTATATATAGCATTAACATTAGCAG